ATATTATATTATAATGTATTATAATACTTAGTTAATAATTATTATATATTTTGAATAAGATGGAAGAAAGTAAAAGAATGATAAAACGATAAGAAGAAAGAAGCACGAGTCCCTATAGTCTTGGGAATGCAACAGATCACAACATTGCAAAGATTTGAAGAAGAAGATGCATCGGATAAACATGTGTAGTAATTAGGAATAGCTTGCAATTAAGTCGACTAATAATAGTAATACTTTTTAATTATGTTACACTTTATAATTTAGCACATTGTATTATATATACATATAAAGCATCAAGCATTAAATATTTTGCTGTTAATGAAAATTGTAATAGGACAATATAAAAAATTTGCTATATAAAGTGTAACATTCGAAAGCATTTTCTTTCACTGACGAGATACTATTAATGATTTTACAAGATTTATCGTGACACGAAACATTTATATATATACATATACATACATATTCATGTATATACATACACATATATATATATATATATATATATATATATATTTATATTTAAAATAATCTAGATCGCATCTTGAGATTCCGTTCAGTTAGTAAAATAGTTGTATTTTCCAACTTACTTAAGAGGATCTTAAATATAAGAGTGAATTATGAATGCGATGTATTTTTGTGCGGACATTTATCGAAAGGAATGCATGTGCTTCTCCAAATTGAGATGAGGTAAGATTGCAAAATATCAAAGTTTTATGCAATGTGTGTAACCTAAATCTGTTAACGTACAAATATTAGAGTAACGGAATAAGTATATGTAATTTGATTAAAAATACGTTTCTTACATGAATTTTTAATTACATATTTTATTATACTACAAATAAAAAAATCATGCTTGCGATTCTAACAATTTACCGACATGCACAAAATGATGACTTTACCGGCAGTCGAAATATCTTGACTACGTAATTCTGGTGTTTAACGCGAATGCAGATGGCGATACTAAACAGCAAAAAAAGATGGCCGTATGAGTGAAACGCGAGGCGCGAAATATTGCATTTCGTATATCGTTCTTTGCGAAAAAAATGTGTGATAGTGTTGTACGTATTCGCGATTAACAGTTCAGTATTGATGAATACTAATCAACGCAAGTATAATTTGTCGTGCATTGGATATCTCTTCAAACTCTGTATATGAATCGTTTTCGAATCGTTCTGATCGCACGTTCCGATAACACAGTGATCCAAAAAAAATCGTCGAATATATTTCGTACGATTAGAATGGTGCACAGTATCGAGTGACTTTTATTTATTTGAAGCGCGACGTATTTTTGTGCGGACATTTATCGAAAGGAATGCACGTGCTTCTCCAAATTGAGATGAGATGAAGATTGCAAAATATCGAAGTTTTATGCAATGTGTGTAACCTAAATCTGTTAACGTACAAGTATTCGAGTAACGGAATAAAAGATAAAGATTTTGAGATCGTACAAGTTCGTATGATATATATTAATATTTATATATTAATATCAATCTTTATTATATATTTATATATTTATTTATTTATGAGTCTTCTTTTTCTTTTTCTGAACATCATTTATTTATTTATTTATTTATTTAGTTCGCTCTCAGTCCTTTAAAATGCAAAAGTAAATATTATAAGATTTGACTTTGGAAAAGCGCGATAAAACAATCGAATCATTCGTAATTCATATCATTAGCGTAATATACTATGAATTTTCTACGTTAAATATTGAATCGAAATTGCGCGAAAGAGGAAAAAAAGAACAAGCCTATGAATAGACATTTCCATCCTTTACTAAAAGAAAAAGAAATTAAAAATATCTCTCCATTTTTTCTCTATTTCTTCGGGCAAGTCTACATATATGACCAATATGATTAATTGATTCCATCTTTATATATTTATCATTATGTGCTATTAATTAAAGCCGTAGACAATATTCAGTAATCAAAGTTGCGCGCAGGAATGGCCATGCGCAGAAACGAATGCGCAGTGGTTCGGCCGCCATGTTGGCGCGTGACTGCTACGTCATAGCGTCATTGCTACGTCATACGCGTCATACGTGAATCGGAGTCATACGCAGTTACACGGATCGTCGTACATCCGCATTTTTCGCATCTTTTAACCGTTTCTAAACGAATATCGCGAGTGAACGAGCGTCGAGAGTGTCCAAGGATGATCGTGCGACTTTCATAATATGTCGGTGAAAGTGCGCGACAGCTATTTTTCACAGTTCAGTGATAGCGCGATCGCGAAGATGGAGCGAAGTTGCGTCGCGTTTTTCGCGCCCTTGATGATGATTATCGAATGCGAGCGAGTATCGGGAGTGCCGAATAAAGTGTCGCGCGTTCGCGTTGATGATATCGTGTGAGTTTGTGTGCATCAAGATCGGAATGGGACGTCCCGAGGCGAGCGAGTGGAGCGGCCTGTGGAACAGCCGGTGCGTAGATTTGATTTATCATATTTGCGTGCACAATTCGTGCCTATTCGACGCTTATATGCACACTTATAGCATCGCGATGTCCCGAATTACATTCGGACAAATCGGTGCCGCATCATAATTCGATTCGGTGCAATTCAAATAAAGTCGATCGCGTGAAGATTATGCTAGAAGCGATTTGAAATTTATTTTGTACGCGCGCACAGTGCTGCACAGTCTATCTCGTAGGGCTGCCAACTGTTAAACGATAAATTTGTTTGATCTAACCTAACCTCTCAGTCTTTGGATATCGAATGTAAACACAAACGTATGCTGCCTGGATTGTATCATGCTTTCAAAAATAATATTTAATTATTTCATTAGTGTATTACATTTTATTACGTAGTATATTAATCGTATTAAATGTGCGACGTACAGTTTTACACATTTTAATGAGAAGCATATAATATAATTGGTTAGGTTAGATTAAATTAAAACAAGCTGCTGTGATTCATTTAACATAATAAGATTAATTTGACGAATGTGCAGCTATTGAAGTTACATGATATTTGTGGACACATTTTTAAAGTAATCATGAGTGTCTTATCTCATCTCGATTACATAAAATTAAAATATAAAATATTTATGTATTCCACATTAACATTATTCATTACAAGTACTATATTACTTTTCTTATATCTCAATCATATTTCATCGATGAAGCTTTTCATATATCGCAGACAATATGATACTGTGTATGGAATTTTACACAGGTAATACATAGCACAAAAATAATTTGTTCTCAAGTATTGTGCGTATTTCTCAAAAATAAATCAAATTTTTGCTTTCAAGATTTACAAGCAGTTTTTGCTGTTGAATTAATTCTTTTCCTCTAAACACAGGAGTGTTTAGACCAGGAAATTGTATCGGAATTTTTCCCATGCCAATAATTTGCTCCTTATTTAGGAGCTCTCTATTTTCACTACTCTTCTTGCTCTACCTCTGTGTCTTCCTGCATTACTGATACTTGTCACACTCTTTCATAATTCATCTTCAGGTCCTATAGAACAAAAGCACAGTGAAATACAAATTATTTTCTACTGTAAATATAAACTATTATCAAAATGCTATATCCATAAAAGTTCTACTTACTATTCGCAAAAAATATAGAGTTTCTCACATTATTTAATAAAGTGACTATTTTTAATAAATGTGAATGACTGACAAGCAATAAATTAAACAATATTAAACAATAATATACCTGAAAAAAATTTCATAATTTTATTAGAGTTAAATTGATAAATTAATTTTAAATACACATTATATAATTACATATAATGATTTAGAGACAATGATATATTTCATTTGCGTTACCATTGTTTACAAATTGAACATTTTTTATCAAATTATTTACAACTCTAAATATGTAGCATACGACAAGCCATTTTTAAAATCTATAAAACAAACAACAAAGTTGTTCATAGTTTTCACTCTTTTTTGTCATAGTCTGCTTTTAGGCGATCTTAAAGTCACTAGATTAACAAAGTACCGCAATTTTGATCTCAATAAGATAAGCTGGTGCAAAAATGGCGTAGTAAGTAGTAAGTAGTAGTTGCTTCTTTGTTCAACCAATGGTTGACGCTACTTTTTAGCGTCAATGAGGCCGCATCTTTAGGGATCTAAGAGCAGGCCATGGCGTCTCTCGTTTTTTGCTGATATCCAATTGGATAAACTTTTTATCTGGACAACATTTCTAATAATTTATTAGCTTGCATGCAAACTAGCACGAAAAATTGTATTATATATCGATAGCTTTAAACTGTGAGTACGCATGCGTGGAGTTTATGCCTCCATTTGGAAATATGTATTCGGGAATGTATACTATGGACTCTGAGAGAACGGTAAAAGGAGCAACGTGATTTCTGCTTTGATCGATTTGTATGAGTGTCGTAAAAATAGAAAATAGAAGGGAAAAAAAATCTTGTCGGTATTTTCGCATATTCTCGACTATTCAGAAGACAAGAATTCAGCACCAGGTTATAATAACTTTGTCAATCCGCTACTCGTAACCGCTTTCTAATAATTGCATCCACGTTTGACATTTGGTCATTCGGAGCTTTTCATAGGATCACCACCTGGACACACGTACACGTAACAGTACGCATCAATGATGACGAGTTGGTCGAGAATTTTTCCAAGGAAATCTATCGCGCTTGCGATTAGATCTGTTCATAAACTTAGATACTCGAGTGAAAAGGTCGAAGTGCATCGAGTGCGTGCCGAGCGCGTGTAAGCGTTCGTGTGTGTTTGATATATACAAGAGAAACGCGATTTCATGCGAATCAAGAATGCGGTACTATTCTATTACGATGCTACGATGTACCTCTCGTTCCTGTAAATTCATGGAATGTCTGTGAGACCGATTATTTATATATTATATACAATGTCAACACAGCTAAGCATGCAAGACAAGAAAGATTTGGAGAAATTCACCAAATACCTGGCGTTAAGAGCCGCCCAAATCATAGTGCAATCAAGATCGGGCCAGAAAGTCAATACCATGTGTAAACCGGATTCCTCCGCCGGCGATTGGGTAAAAGTAAAGTTTGCTAATCCATACAATTTACTTGGTTTTATCCCACTGCTTTTTGTTCAAATCTATTCGATCTATTTTTATTTCCAAACAGACAAAGTTCGACTATATTTTATATTAAAATTATCTTTTGCAGAACTTTTGGGATAAAACTGAAATAATACATTAAACCAATTAAATTGAATGGCCATATGATCAATATTTATACTTTTATTCTTTAGTACTTGAGAGAATCTAAATATATGTATGATTTTGTAGTTTAATCTGGCGATAAAAGAGCTACCTGAGGTCTCAGCTGATGCTAAGAGAGCGCTATGTGGAGAGATAGTAAGTTCATCTGTACCTCTCTGTATAGAAATTTCTTTGAAAACAGTAGAGGGTGACAAGATGGTTTTGGAAACTTGGAGTCTTGGTGTTCTGCCAGAGCAAAGCGATCCAACTGTACGAGTAACATATACTGTGTATAACAGAATGGGAATTTTATTGAAGTCTTTGCTTTCTGTATCAAGAACTGCACCTGCTTACAAACTAAGCAGACGTCAAGGGCCTGATTCTTATACTATGTGCTATCGAATATATATGGGAGATCCACAGTTACACAATTTAGGTATAATTTAATTAGTTTAATTATTTTAAGAATTTTTTTTCTTATATTGTTTAAATATTTAGTTATTTGTTTTATAATAGGTGATAATTATAAACATATGAGAGTAGGTCAATTGTGTACCCCAGTGGGTACCATACATTTGTCAGTCTCTTATAGAACAAAAATGACCATATCGCCCACTCACAAAGGACGAGATTCTATTATGCTTAAAAGCGATCATTTTCATTCAGATTTAAGTCCACGCCATGCACGATATCAGCAGAGGTCAGTGAATAAAAAACAAATATTGTAACAAAGTTTGCATTAAAAATATTTAATTAAGAAATGTGTAAACATGTATAATGTTATATATAAATCAAATATGTAGTGAGGAAACATCAAAATCTCTCAGCGATACCATCAAAGTTGGTGCATTTGTGATAAACAAACCTGTAATTGTTAACGAAGAGGATCTTGTGATACCGGATGTACCATTCAGTTCCTTATTGACACCCAAACAAACATCGCCTCCTCCAGGATCACTAATGAATCCGACAAATACAAAGACTGCAACGGCAGGTGCCACAACTGATAGCAACAACGGAAATAATGAAAGACTCAATAATGATAATACGACTTCGAAATGCGCCTCCCAAAATGGATCTAGAAGGAGTAGTTGTTCAATGACTAGTGCCAACGATGATTTTATTATGGTAGATTTGGTAATTGATGCTCCTAATCCAAACACGATATCACAACTCATCATATCATGTCTCACAGTTAAAAATTTGCCTGATATAAATACATAAAAATATTTCGCCTAGAACAATATATGATGATTTAAAATTAAAGTTTGAAAATTATTATCATAGATATCATATGTGTACAAATAAATATAAAGCTAAAAACTACATAATGTGTAGTATAATATAATTATGAAATTGATATAAATATAGAAATAAATACTAGAGATAAACATGTATATATATATTTGTATGCAAGGTATTAGGTGAAATATATTTAGAGAGCTTTATATATTTTGGGCAAATTTCATATTATATATGTGCATAAAACGAACTTTGAACATTATTGTTGCAGAAAACCCCCTTTGCCGTTACAAATACTAATAGCGATGTAGGGGCGTTTTATCGTGATTGTCAAAGTGCACCGCAATTACAAGCATTCATGGAAGAAAGAACGCTCGCAGAACAACTGGGAGATCTCACTAAGCAATTGGAAACATTTGAGACTAATATGCAGCATTACGAAGATATGTTGTCATCATTGTGTCAAACTGAAAATAATAATTAAGGCTGAACTCTACTAGCTGGTTTAAGAATGCAAATTGTATACAACTCTATTGTATGCATATTTAATGTGTTAAGGTGAGTATGCATTAAGCAAATGAATAACGCGAATGTTACAATATTTGTATTTATATTATTTATTCGCTTTTCTCTTTCATATTGAGTTAGATTGATTACTTGTTACATAAAAAAATACAATGTCGGATACAATAATTACACAAGTTTTATTGTAACTTAATCTTGAGAAAAAATAACAGAAAACCATGAAAAAAATAGACATTATTGATAACATAACATAACATATAATAATACTGCATGCACGCGGGAATAAAGTAACATATGAATTCAGAACAAACTGTAGCAAATAGCGAATATGTAATAATAGTATTCATACTGTATAAAAACATTTTGATGTATCGCCTTAGAAATTAATTAATCCTAACACAAATTGAATACTAGCAAATGTTCTGTTTGCATTTAGCCTCCAAACTTTAATAAGTACTTTAAAGCATTCGCTGTTTCTTTGCTCAATGTATGTCCCATCTTTAGATATTGAAACCTATTGCCTTTGTCATTTATGCGCGAAATAATTGAAATCATTGAAGAACTTTTATTTTTATAGTGAATTTCATGATTTTGAAAAATTCTATAAATTTGTTAATATATAAAATTCTATAAATATATGTTAATATATATATGTTAATATATATATATGTTAATATATATCAAGGATTTATAAGATTTGGAAGCATATTAATCATTCGATATCCTTTGAGTAAAATTACTCATACAAGTATTTTGCCATATACATTGCAGAAATTATGTAATATAAATATTAAAGCAAACGTACTAGTTGTGATAATTGATTACTTAATATAATTTATTGCTTGTATATAAGTGTAAATTATGCACTTGAATATTGTAAAATTAATTGATAAATATAAGTTAACTACAAATACATTTTATTAATTTATTATCCTACCACAATAAAATTTATTTCAACAATTGATATATTTATAAAAAGTTTTTTTAATTTTTTTAAATTAATGTGTTACAAATAAACAATAACGGAATCTTGTTCAGGATTCAGATGCTCTCAAGTGAATTTAATATTTTCACTTTTAATTATTAATTGTTTAATAATTTATTGTTCCGTGGGATAATTAACTACACATTACAAAAGATAAATCAGTTTAAATTCAGAATATAAAATGTGAAGAGAGAAAGAGAAAACACACTTTACATATATATAAAAAAAATTTAATACGATGTCGCGCGATGCATTTTCTTTCATTCACTTTCATTCTCTCTCTCTCTCTTTCTCTCTCTTTCTCTCTCTCTTTTCTTCTCATTCTTTTTCTCCTTTTTCTGTTCGTTCATCAGTACTCTCTCTCTTGCTTGTCACAGCTGACTGTAGTGCGCAACGGCGCAAAATCCAAGTCACCATCTTGCGAAAGAAAAGATATAGTGAATAGTGATAGTAACCGGTGACAGATTTTCATTCTTTTGGAAGTCACGCGCGACTTACTTGAATTACAAAAATGAAATCCAAAGCGGATCTGTTGACTGAACCTGCGTGGAATGAATTGCAACAATATTTCGATAGCAATGGCTCGAAGATTAACATATATAATATGTTTCAACAAGATCCTAAACGTTTCGAGAAATTTAGGTATGTCAATCCATTTTAACTGTGACCTTGAGATGACCCTTTAAAGAGTACTCACTTTAAGGCGAAAAGATATATTTTATAAAATATATATTTGATAATATTTATTATACATGGGTTTCTTTTGCTAAATATTAAAATATTTTGTAATTTTATATTAAATATTATATCAAATTTTAATTTTATATTTTATAATTCTATTATTTTACATCTTTATAAAATAAATTCAAAAGAATATATATGTATATTAAATGAGTACTTAAAGCGTTTTTTTGTTGAAATCAGCTTGGAACTCACTACACCGCAAGATGGGCCAATTTTGTTGGATTATTCCAAGAATAGAATTAACGAAGAAGTACTTAAATTATTATTCAATTTGGTATGAAATTTACTTATAAAATTACGTATAAAATTATATCTTGATAATATTTTAAAATACTTAATCTCACCATATATTGCATCACTTTACAGGCTCGTGCACGGGATGTAGAAGCTGCAAGAAATGCTATGTTTAATGGTGAAAAAATCAACTTCACGGAGAATAGAGCCGTTCTCCACATTGCTTTGCGCAACAGAAATAATACACCAATATTAGTAGATGGGAAGGATGTGATGCCTGATGTTAATGCAGTGTTAGAACATATGAAAAGTTTCACAAATGAGGTAAAATTTGTTTTATATGTATATATATCTTGATATATATAATATATCTATTTGCAGATATTGACAAAAGAATGGAAAGGATTTACGGGTAAACCTATTGAAGATGTTGTCAATATTGGAATAGGTGGCTCTGATCTGGTAAGTTATATAAAAGTTTTTCTTTTTGTCATATAACTAGATTATTAGATATCTGTATTTAAGATTATTTATTTATATTTTCAACAGGGTCCTCTTATGGTAACCGAAGCTTTAAAAGCATATAGCATTGGACCCAGAGTTCATTTTGTTAGTAACATTGATGGTACTCATATAATAGAAACTCTTAAGAAATTAAATCCAGAAACAACGTTATTTATAATAGCTTCCAAGACATTTACTACACAAGAAACTATAACAAATGCAACTACTGCCAAAGTGTGGCTTTTGAAAACATTAAAAGATGTAAGTATAAATTAGAAATTATATTAAGAATATTACTTATATACATTTATAACATGTTCTCTACTTCATATATAATCTTCATATATAAGTATATAATCTCTTTTCTTAATACAATATTCAATTCTCTAGGAAGCTGCAGTCGCCCGTCATTTTGTAGCATTATCAACTAATGAACAAAAAGTTAAAGAATTTGGTATTGATGTGAAAAATATGTTTGGCTTTTGGGATTGGGTTGGCGGACGTTATTCATTATGGTCAGCTATTGGCTTGTCAATTTGTTTATCAATTGGTTTTGATAACTTTGAAAAGCTTCAAAGTGGTGCACATTTTATGGATCAACATTTTTGCACAGCACCATTGGAAAAAAATGTAAGTTTACGGAATATAAAATAAAAATTAAAGTAAATAGTAAACAGAATAAAATTCAAATTTTAAAGATTAATTTGTGGAAGAAACAATATTTTAAATAAATATATATCTGAAAGCTAATATATTTTTCTAGTAATTTTAAAAATTAAAAATGTATATAAATGTATATAATGATTTATTTCAAACTTTTTTCAGGCACCTGTCATATTAGCTTTGCTTGGTGTATGGTACCACAACTTTTATAAGGCAGAAACACATGCATTATTACCATATGATCAATATCTACATAGATTTGCTGCTTACTTTCAGCAAGGTGACATGGAAAGTAACGGAAAATATGTTACTCGCTCTGGAAAGACTGTAAATTATTCTACTGGTATGTCCTATAATGTATATGTGTAATGCAAATTGCACATTAATTTTAAAATCTGTTATTTTTAGGACCAATTGTGTGGGGGGAACCAGGTACTAATGGACAGCATGCATTCTATCAGTTGTTACATCAAGGTACAAAACTTGTACCAGCAGATTTCATAATTCCTGTTCAAACTCAGAACCAGGTGAATAATTTTTAATAGCAATATTAAATTGCTGTATTAGACATCTGCTATATCATATCTGTTTAATTAAAGAGATAAATCTTTGAATTTATTTGACTTTAAAAAATTAAAAATATTGATTCCTTGACTTTAAAGAATTAAAAATATTGATTTCTTTTTAATTCTTTATACATGATTCTTGTTTTCAATTCATTCAAATATTAATATATTCTCCATTAAGAATTTTTATTTGTTGCAGATTGCTCCACACCATACGATTTTACTTGCTAACTTCTTCGCACAAACCGAAGCTTTAATGAAAGGCAAAAATGAAAACGAGGCTCGAACGGAGCTGCAAAAGTCAGGATTAAGTACTGAACAAATAAATTCAATATTACCACATAAAATATTTGAAGGAAATAGACCAACAAACAGCATTGTGGTAAAGAAATTAACACCTTTTGTTCTTGGTGCTTTGATTGGTAAATATCATTATTATACAAATTGATAAATTATGATAATTGTCAAAGATTTCTCATAAAGTTACATTTTTTCTGAAAGATTAAATGCTGATATATATAAATACATTAATACGTACATGTACATATGTATGTATATATGTATACACACACACACACACACACACACACACACACACAATTTCAATAAGTGATATATATGTGTATGCAATATTATTTTCATATTCAAAATCATTTTTTCGAGAATTATACAATTAAAAGCATTTTATACATTTTATTTAATTTTTTTTTCAAGAAACTTTTTTTACAATTTATTATATAATATACTGAATTATTTTGTATATTTTTTTGTATAATTTTATGCATTTATATAGACAATTATTGCAATTTTTTATTTTTGTTCTCTTTTTTAGCAATGTATGAACATAAAATTTTTGTACAAGGCGTTATATGGGATATTAATTCTTATGACCAATGGGGGTAAGAAAAACATTTTTGCATGATTCAGATTTTTTTACTAATATGTAAAAACGTTTTGGTGCAATTCAATAGAAATTAATATTTTTATAGTGTGGAATTGGGGAAACAGTTAGCTAAAGCGATTGAACCAGAGTTGGCAAACTCAGAAACTATCACAACACATGATTCATCAACTAATGGCTTAATAGCATTTGCTAAACGTTATAAAGCCTAAATACTTATATATAGTGAGTAAGTACTTATATATAGTGTTCTTGTATAAAATGTCCATAATAGACATAATCGAATATAAGTAGCTGTTCCAAGTTGCATTATATCATATTAGACTTTATGTAGTTGGTGAAACAAGATTGTGAAGATTAGAAATATATATAATTTGGGGTATTTTTATTTAAAATTCCTGATCCCTCTCACTAATTTTGAATTAATTAATAATTAAATATGATACATAAATAAGAAGATTAATCTATGCGAATGTATTTAATGTACAAAATTTTTATAAAGTTTTTTGTCAATATCAAGTCAATGACTAAGGAAATATAAGTAAGGAATCTTTATTGTTAAAATAATATTTCATTACATTTGATATAAATATTATATTTAACATATGGTCTAGAATGTACTCTTGAATAAGAGATATAAATTAATGCCATCTGAGAACATATTTAAATATTTTTATAAAGAAATTAGAAAGTATATTCTGAAATAAATTAGTTTTTCTCGTATTTTTGACAAATTTTTTTATTTGTACATGTATTAGGCTAACTGCAACTTTAATCTGATTTAGAAATAGAAAAAAGGATATTGTTAAATAAATTATCTTAATAAATGATTAATTTTAATTAATCGACTATGTCAAAAGATATTTTCATGATAAAATCAAGTTGAATAATAATTTATGACATATGTTATCATAATGAATCCCATGCTCTTTCCAATTACAAATTAATACAAAACAATATCAATAGTATTCGAATATGTTCGAATAATTAATGGAAAATAAGTGATAAAAAAAGTGATAAAAATGCTGTTTTTACTTAATTATTAAAATAAAAGCGAAGCATGAATGAAAAGAATCTTGTTGAAATACTTGTGACAACTATGATAAGGAACAGATTATTATCTTCATTGTTGGCATGAGTTAAAGCAACTAGAAACTGTTAAAGATCTCACTAAAATTTGAGTGCATTACACGCTCTTTATTCACACAATTTTGAAGAAAAAAATATTAATTCTCGATACTTCGTATCACGTCACTTGTATAATGACTTCTAATAATTTTGAATTTTTGCGCGTTAAATTGTTCGAGAATTATTCGGCCGTTTTCGATGGATTTCGTGCGATTCTCTCGAATTGATTGGTTGAAATTAAAAATTTTGATTCGATGAATATGCGCGCCAATAAATCCACCAATGAGACAGTTCAACTTCCATGCGCGCATGTGCGAACTTAGTTTCTAGAAACGTTACTAATTTCATTATCCTCTTCCCGCCATAGTCAAGTCGTTTCGCTATCAAAATCGAAAGTGTCGTGCGAAGTATTGCGAGCTTATTAATTATATTCGGATGTGATTAGTGTGTATGTAGTCTTAATTTATTGATTTTGCAAGTGTATACTTAATTGTAATTAATTGTTTTTATTAGTGATGTGAAGGATTGATGTGAAAAAGGTGGAGTAGCAGGCCCGGGGCGGCATCCAGCAACAGTCAAGTAACTATAAAGGTGAATAATTCATTATGTATTTATTATTACTTTTGTAAGGAATTCAATATAAGGGAACATTTTAATGCGCAATAATTACACTATCCCAGACATTAATTTAGATTATAATTTAGATACTTGTATTAATTCAGATTAAATAGATATATTTGTGTATGTTACAGATCACTGCTGTGTGAACTTTCCTGCGCATCGCACCGTGAGTTTAAATAGTTTTTTATTTTAATTATGAGATAATAGATATATTTTAAAAATTTTATCTGAGATATATATATATATATATATATATATATATATATATGACGTTCATGAAATGAATCTATAAATATTAGAAATGAATCAAATAATTTGAAATATTTTTCTGACAATTATTAATACAAAATAGTAAAAGTTTGCAACTAACTAGCAAACTAGCAAAATAGTAAAATCTTATTTATTATTTGTTTTTATAAATTACTTGAATTAAATTTTAAAATAATAAAAAGTTTAAGGTTTGTAATTTAAGTTAAGAATAGAAATATATAGAAATATTATTGATATATCTCAATTAATTATGGCTTAAAAGAGACGAATTAGAATAAATTAAATATTTAATTTTGAAATATATATGATTGCTGTGCATACAAACATGTATGTATTATTATACTACAAATAATTTATAAATTGATCATTATTTTTATTTATGCATTATTGATCAATTTGTATTTATTGATTATTTATCCTGTAAAAAATTGTATTTCTACATTTTAAGTATGATTGATATAAAATAATTAACAGTAATAAAATAATTTTTACTGGAGGAAGATGTAATATGTATCAATAACATTATTTTGATAAATTTTTTTAAATATATACATAATTATTTAAAAATACATTAAAATTATTCAAGATTACATTATAATTATTTAAACAATGAATTCGAAAATTTATCGTTTAAATTATGAAAAAAAGGAGAAAAGAGTAATTCTAAAGTTTAAAATTGATAAAAGAAAAACTAAGAAAATATTGATAAGAAATTTGCAAAAGAATTTACAGTATTAGCTTAGAATTTTTAGTGCCACTTGTGACAGTTTAAAATATTTAAAATTTTAATTTGCGATATCGATATCTCTAATTCGATTCCTGCCGTATACGTAATGTAATGATGCATAATCAGCTGTTGTGGCGTCATTCGAATAATGCGACGGAGAGTGCGATATATTCTTTCAAGTGACTCGATCGTCTACAATACTTTTCCGTGTTCAAAGTGCGTCGTGGATGTTGGACGGTGTTGGTGCATTGTTGTTATAAAAAGCAATCTCTTCTAATCAAGAAAAAAAATGGAGATGGTAATCGAACGATATGAATACCTTGAGAAAAGGATACTACAAAATGTCAAATGCAACGGCGTACAACACCGGTACGGTTGATTTCTTCTCCCTGAAGAAATAAGATAACCTTTGAATACAAACCGGTTTTTATCATCAATGTTATATTTTATTAAAGCGAGTGGTATGCGTTATTTCAGTGTCGATCACACCGTTGAAATATACTGCTTATGATGCAATGACAATCGTTAATTATAATTACTAGCAATGATGATGAAAAGGATGTTAGAGAAACAAGGTTAGGTTTGTATATGCATTTATGTTATTTTTTTACAGACCAAACGCAAGCAGCGGATTATGGTTAGGTATCTTGGTTGGTTTAAGCGCTGCAGTTACAATAATAAAGGAACAAAACAGCTATTCTGAAATATGTCTGTGTGTTGGAACTGCAGGCTTTGGTCTTGTTCTCTGTTCCATCTGCCTTTATATGCGGCTTTCGATAGAGAAAGTTGCAGTAAAAGATTTTCACGCCATATATTTTCTGCCTGCGATTGTAACATCTCTACTCTTTCTATTTATAGCTAACAGAGGTATATGAATCTGCAAATTATTCCTTGAAAAATCCTTAATTACATTGTGCTATAAATATAAATGGCATGTGCTTGATATGAAGAATAATATGCAATTAGTTTCTGATTATATCTTTATATTAATTAATTAAATAAGAACAGGATTGCTAATGAGTGTCATATGGGGTTTAACTGTCGGGAATCTGGGCACATGGAGTGTCCTGCAACTAATGTCAGCTTTTCCATATTGCTTCACAATGGGTGAGGCAACAGCAATTATGCATAGTTTTGTTCTGTTTTTGATGTCAGCTGTTACCAATTTACCTTTACGATATCATTTACCTCCAATTCATGACAATGACATCAGTACAGTTTTGTTGCAGGTAGTAAAATGGAGAAATCCATTGTCCTGAGATATTTTGCTTATTTTTTATATTTCCTTAACATATAATTGCAGGTTGGAATACTGTATGTAGTGTTGGTGTGTCTTCTGTGTGGGTATTTTCCTATCCTGCGTAGTACAAGATATTTCTATTTAATGACAATCAATCTCATATGTTTTATAATTCTTCCAATACTTTATATTATTCTCGATCAAAATCCGATAATGTGGATAATTTCTTTTGTTTTCAGCCGTGAAAGGGTAAGCAATATATATATTTATAAAAATATGATGTTTTATTATATAATTTATATGACTTTTAAAAAATATATACGTTATTTATAAGATAAAGATATTACAAATTTAATTATAAATTATATTTTCATTTAAAATGTTACAGATTGCAATAATTTTATATTGGACAATATGTTTGTTATTAAGCATCTGTACAATAACTTATCAGATTTTATCAAAAAGCCAAGCAACAACCTCAACTAGAAAATATTTTCATATATTAGCGGTACTTGTATATATTCCTGGCATGATATATGATCCATCACTTTTATATCTTGCCAGTGGCATAATATTGGCACTATTTATTATTATTGAGGTACTTATTGTATATATCAATTACTTAAATTTCTAATTATATTCAATTACTATATATCAATTACTTAAATTTCTAATTATATTTTCAAATATGATAATTGTTATATAAATTTATCAGGTAATCCGACTTTTGAGCATCCCACCTTTGGGAGAAATTTTACAACAAGGATTTACCGTATTCGCTGATGAAAAAGACTATTTGCTCTCATTGACACCTATATATTTACTCTGTGGTCTATCGTTTCCTCTTTGGATGCCAACTAATAATTTGACATTATTGATATTACTTAGCGGCGTGCTAACAGTAGGAATTGGTGATACCACTGCTAGCTTTGTTGGTAGCAGATGGGGTTTGCACAAGTGGTTGGGCACAGAGAAAAGCGTTGAAGGCACAGTTGCATGCATATTTTCCCAAATTTGCATAATATTTGGTCTAACATGTTGTGGTAGATATTTCAATTCTTATATCTTTTTGACATTTTTCTAAAACTGTTGTTTATTTCTGATTATTTTGCTAGGTTTTATGGACACTTACTGGTTATTGCCGAGAAGCATTTTAGCAGTTATATCAATATCATTGATCGAAGGGCGCACAAATCAAATGGACAATCTGGCTCTGCCATTATTAATGTACATATGTTTGATGATATAAACATGTACTGTTCTTCCAAAATTTAATAGCTACAATTAGTTCAAACTAGATTTCAAAAACATAATATACTATCATTTCGTAGCTAATTTCTGATCGCCTTTTATAATAATAATGAAAATAGAAATAATTTTGACAGAACGTTTTTTAATAGCCTTTTTTGCTGTCAGATTGTTAAAGGCAAGGCTGTTAATTTATAAATATAAATAATCTAATATTTAATGTGTCATTATGCTGCACATATATAATTAACCGCAAACAGATTGTGGATGACTGTTAGACTGTTTAATCTGAGAAAGACTACATCACTTTTAATTTATTATATAAAATAACATACATAATTGACATAATTAGAAAGATTACTTTAATTAAAAAGATGTAGCAAATGAAAAGTCTCGCGATTATCTTTATATATATATATATATATAATAAATATATATATATATAATATATATAAATATATATATATATAATATATATATATATATATATATACATACATACATATATGTATGTATGTATGTATGTATGTATGTATAGATACACACACATTATGCTATTAAATTTAATGCAGTACAAATATTTATACTTATAAATATATATATATATATATATATATATATATATATATACACACACATATATGTATATACATATATGTATATATATATATATATATATATATGTATATGTATATGTATATGTATATATATGCATATATGTATATGTATATTTATTTTTGCAAAGATTCAAGTTATGCATTGTGTAAAATCGCAAAATACAATCTAAATATGGAGATGAATGTGAATATGTATTACATACAAGCTTTACTAACTTTTACTTAATGTTTTGGAAACACCGATTATGTGCCTGATATATTTCGCTCATTCCGGACAAAGCATTTTCTACATATAAGTCTTGTGACTTTTTCAGTTAAGTTATTAATATATAATATAATGTGAATAAAATATATTTTTCTAAATATACTTTTCTTATTTAGTCATTGTTCTTCTTTACATATTACACATATAATATTAATATAAAACATTATTTAAAAAATCGATTAACATGTTATATATGTTTTTAAGAAACTTAAATAGATTTTATTAGATTTTCTTTCAACATATAATTTATCGTCTTTTTTTTATTATATCTTTGAGATTAATTTTTTTCTAAAAAAGCAGGACACTTGGTGATTTGTGAAATAATCATTTATTGAGATGTTTATTTTAGCGTTTTATTGAGACCACACAGCCTTAAAATATGCTCACGCATAGTTTTCCTCGCGCATACGTCGCATTCTTTAACCTATAATATAATTCACAAATGCTTAAAAAGCACCGATACTTTATTAATTCGGCGTAACATAAAAAATAGAGAGAGAGAAAGAGAGAGAAGAAATTTTGACGTACAGTATACATATGTACATAAAATGTGTATATGTGATTTATTAAATAATAATTTTACGTATTAATAATATGTATATTAATACGTCATGAATTTAACGTAGCTTTACTTTTTTATTGTTTTGATCATTTCCATATTTTATTAAATTGTTTGATTTTGATGAAATTAATTATTATTTAATTATAACAATTATCGTGGGACGAATTGACGATCGCGTGTTGCGATAATAAGGTGAAAATCCGTGCGATTCTTGCAAAATTATACGCGATTACAATCTTTAAAAAATTAGAATATTTTTATTAATGTACAATTATTTACTTATTTTATAATAACAAAAAGAAGACGCAAGAGAGAGAATACATAAAAGAATCAAAATGATCAAATGGTGAATTAACAAGAACGATGATTTTCGAGCATTTCATACCGACGATCATTATGTTACAGTGTGTCTGCCGATCTCGGGCAATCTTTTTAATCACAATCCATATTTTAAGAGATTAGTTCGGAGATTAATATATCGATATTTTTTCATGTTCACAGAACGATTTTGAATAAGATCATTCGTAATCTGCACGAGAGAACGACAGACAGATGTACATGCGTTGTATCTACGTAAACTACTTACAATTACTTTTATATATATATATATATATATATATATATATATATATATATACACCTATATACATATACATATACATATACATATATATAAGTAGTTGTATTTTTATAATTGTATATATAGCAATTAAATAAATATCATGAAATTTTCGACCGTATAATGCCATTTGTTGGATCGCCATGTAAGACGACGATGTGTTTACTATCTTAAAATATACGTAAAACATATTCGGTGTATCTCTTGAGTCTCTTCGTGTGATATACTGCGACTTTTTTTGTCATACTTTCGATCGCGATATCTGGCTATATTTCTATTATTATTCGCTTCCGATATTCATGAAGATCGTAATTCGATATTCGCATTTTTTTGCGCGCATCACGGTCCTCCCGTCCTTACATCGTCGCTGCGAAGAAAGGACAATGGATGAGAATAGAATGCACAAATGTGAATCTTATTCAAATTTGGAGGATAAAAAAGATATTTTATGTGTAGAAATATATTTGTGTGCATTCTCTTCCTGTCATTTTAATATAAAAAATTATTTACATTGATTTTCTCTAAGCAAAGGAGAAAAAATATGTTAATTTTTGCAATATGAAAAAAATTTAATTTTTTGCTATTTTTAAATAATGAAATTTAAAAATAATTAAAATTAGTTTTTTGTTAAAATTTATAATATACATGAATTCTTTAATATAGAAGCATTATTACGAATTAAAATTTTCAAAATTTGATAAAACTTTTAATACTTACTTTTAAAAATAACAAAAAAAATTATTTTAAGTTTTTATATGCGTAAAGCAAAGATTATACTTAAATAAACAAATAAATATATAAATTTCAAAATTAAGGCTGTTTATGTATGTATATAAAATATATGTTTGTATAATGGAAATAGAGGAATATAATATGTAGTATGACATATATTATTTTAAGTTATTTTATGTCTATTTATGAAAAAATCGATGCTTTATGCAATACATCGCGTAATAATCTAATAATCATGATGATATTAATATTTTAAGAGATAAAACATTACGCCTATATTTACATGCAACTAAATAAAATATCCTTATCCCCCTAAATTGGATAAGTTTCGCACCATGGAGGAGTGAATTGCGATAAAAAAATAAGCATTCGTTAATTATGCGTTGCTAATTATTGACTTTCATGTTCGAAATGTTTCGAGTATCGTGCTGTCTTGCAATCTGCGAGCGTTGATTTGTTAAAAAAAATCGATCTTATATTATCTATAATAGTACTAGCGAAGGAATTAACGCGCAAAAACACATAGAATATGTGTTGACGTGTTAAACAAATAAAAATTTTAAAATATTACAGTGTGCAATTAAACTCTTATCAAATTGAGGTGAGCAGGAAGTGTGTCTTCCAACTATTTTACTTCCAATGCATAACGAAGCTGTTCATAAAAATGATTTTTTTAAAACGCCAACACTGAATATTAAAATTGTGATTCAATTTAAACTTTAGAACCTTACATCGCGATAAAATTAAGTACAATTCGATTCAATGATTCGACACACATTAAATTTTGATTTAAATCGCACGCAATTTCATAATATTTGCAATATTCTAAAGTTTAAATTGAACTGCGGTTTTGATACTCGATGTTGTTACATTGTGTTTTAAAAAATCGGTCTCATTACTTTCTGCGACATATACACTCGACATATACACGAAATCATTAATGTCTCGAGACATAAATTTACATATTGAGGCGTATGTATACGAGGAATACGTATATATTTGCCGCGAATAAATTTACGCTGAAACATTAATGATTCCATACATTAAATTTCTTCTCGCCGATTAGGCAAGATCAAGTCAATTCATTACTTTTCGCGTTTCGTTATATATGTACAATCGCGATGCAGGCTGAGACTCTTTATATTCGTAGTCCAGCTACTCTTAAAAGCAACAGTATTCGATTCTCGTTTATTTATCGTTTTACCGCAAGAATGGAAAGGCGATTATGAACAAAATAATTCAAAATCCGAAGCTTCTCTCGCCGAAACATCTAGTAATTTCTTGATTTGTTTGATTCCATAATTTTCTAAGGCTTGTTGCGACAGTATGTTATATGATGCAAACATGCACATTTATTCGTTTTTTTTTCGCTTCATTGTGAGAATAGAAAACTGATTATGAATGAAAGAATTCAATCTTGAAGTATTCTTTTAATTCTTATTATATGTGTACGGAAACTTTTAATGTCAATATAAGCGAAAATTTAAAATCAGACCATCATATTTAGCAATAAATTCGGTGAAGATATGAGCCTTGAATTTTTGAGAGCCGATCTTTAGCGAGATAATAATATATTTATCCGCAATTTGCATTTAACGAGATAAACATATCTTAATTTCAACATAGTGTTTTAAAAGTAGTGGCGTAACTTTTCTACTACTAAGAAAGTACAAACAGCCAGGTCAATTTGCATGTTTCATATTTTTAAAATTTTTGATGTTTTAAAAATATTCCTAAAATTTTAAGATGAAATTTATTGAAATAACAGGGATATAGTGGCTTTTTAATAATATATAATTGAGAATGTATATGTTTTTGAATAAAGAATTTTATTTCAAAAGATTTTATATAGAGAGAAAAAAATATTCAGGAAAACGATCATTATTTTTGTCGCTTTAGATGTATGTACCCTCTTAAGCGGAAATAAGCATTATATTTCGAGGACCTGCAATATTAATTAATCTACAAAGAGAAAAAAGAAAATAAAATATATAACAATGTAACATAAAAATATAATTTCTCTTTTACGCACATAAATGTTTATACAAGTTAAAATGTACAGATCTTTATTTTTATTTTTTTTCTAACTTTGCAAATGTAGAGTGGAAGAGGGAGGCCTCTTTCATTATTCTCTTTTAGGACCGAAAATTTACACACACGGTTACGCCACTGCGTAAAATATACACTGTCTTTAATGCGATACGTCGCTCTGCGATCTTGTGAAATACACAATGAATCATGTAAATAAAATGGAGCAAATTAATAGCGAATTTGATCAAATGCGCGCACTGGTGTACATTTTTAAAATCATATTATACATAAAATTTATCATGATGTAAAAGCATTTGGCGAAAATATCTCGAAATAATCTAAGTAACGTAAGTTCTGCCACACCATTATAAAGCTGAGCATCTCATTAATGAACTGATTTTACACTATACTTACGTTTTTATGTCACTGCAAGACTATTTTTAATATACACCGGTGCATTCTACTCGAATTCGCTGTAGAAGATAAGAGTTTATTTGCTTCATATTTACCTATATGACACAATATCTAGCAATCGGAAGGTCGACCGCTTCGCATCAATACTCCTTTTCCATAGTCTCGTTCCTCAACTGGTCGGGAATCTTAATGTCTATGTTTATATCGTAAAGCATTTTGCAGAAGCCGTCATCCCTTAATCGCGTGTATGATTATATATCAACAGAATATATAAAAATTTAAAGATTAAATAATATCTCTTTAAAACTTTCGATATCTAATTTGCAAGCGCTAAATTTTTAGCTATTTAATAATACTGATATTAATCTGAGATCCTTTATACGTAAATAAAAAGTGATTTGAGTGAAATTTTTAATATTATAATTATGTTTTTAATGTGTGTAGATTTTAAGGGAGATATTGTACTTAAAATTTTTTAATTTCATCTATTATGAACATTGTGACACAATGTTCATTTACAAATTCAAAAATCTCTCCCGATGACAGCGATTATGGGTCGACGAGCTATTCATTCAAGCCTAATATACATTGAGTATTAGGTTTACAAAACAGATACCCTATCTTATTGTAGGGTTTCAAGGGTCGGATCAGTGATTTCGTAGCGAAGGATATGGAGTTTCTAGGGAAATCGGAGATGTGGGAACTCGAGCTGATACGTATATAAGATTAGGAGACCGGTTACTCCCGCAGTTTGTGCCACTCGGCTATCTGTCGTCGCGGTGAGCTGCATACCTCCTTCCAATGGTTTACAGCGGAACCTTGACATTTTGGTCCACCAAATTCTAGCCGGCCAATTACCTAAATGAATCAGATTTTTTTCGATTAACAACTTATATCAAATAAAAATTCTCTATTCCACAAAATAACAAATCTAAATGCCTTATATAAGTTTTTTACATGTACATTTCGCATAATTAATATTTACAATTCTATGAAACTAAAAATAATAAAATTAGTGTTTTATGTAAAAATATTAAATATTTTTTTATTATAATTTTTTTAAATTTAATTTAGAGACAATTTCTCTTATTTAATTTAGAGACAATTTTTTTTCTTATTGTTTTTTATAGTAAATGATAAAAGATATTATTATTTATTAAGTCATTTTAATTATTAAAATTGCAAATCCGTTTAATAAAATTTTAAGTAAAAATTTTCTTAAAATAATATTTATTTAAAATAAATAATTGTGCAAAATTTGTCACCTGTCTTGTTTTCTGAAATTTAATTTATCAAATATGAATTTCTAAGAATTAATTGTTTACAAACAATAGGTGTGTCTTTTCCTTGATATTCTCGCTAAGAAAAAATTAATTGTAAATTGTCTAAAATTGTTTATATTTATTTATATTTATTATATTAAATAGCATATTTACTGATTATTAAATATTAAATGATATATAAAAATAAATGATATATAAAAATAAAAATGAAGAATATTAAATATGATATATTTACTGATTATGGAATATAAAATATGATTTTATAAGAAGAATTTGAGAGAGATACAAAATATATTTTATCGTACATTAATTCAATCAATAATGGAGTGAACAAAATATTGAGTCTTGAATGACAGAAGTGCGAAATTTACCTCGTTTTTCGTAACTCGATCCCAGTCTAGTAGCATGAACTCGAGGCTGACATTGTTGAGTCCGTCCGCACCATTTGGTATATCGAAGACGAAAGACTCATTGAATACCGGACTGAGAGTACGTTTCTTCACGTGCGTTTTTTTCTTGGCGATACGTTGCTGATTGTACAAAAGATAAATCTTCACGTACGGATCAGCTAGCCCAGTTACGTCCATCTTGGGTAAACTTCGCGCTTTTAAGACCACCACTGTCAGGCGGCTATTGACCGGTTGCCAGCAAAGCGAAACCAATAATTCTCCTCTTCCTTGCGACTGTATCTAAAAAAAAAATAGGAAAAGAGAAAAATTATTCGAGTGTAATATATAGACATATATATCATAGTATTCATCTATAGATAGTGTCCCTACCCTATTCTTAAATATTCTTTTCAAAAAGAATTTGTGATCAAAAGAAGATCTATTTTTCTTCAAGGAAAATATCGAAGTTTTTGAATAATTAATGATTGAAAATAAGAAATTTTAATAATTTTAATAATGTCGGAAGAAAAGATAACGACGGAATTAAAAGTAAATTAAGTATTTAATTATTTAAAATTTAATTATTTAAAAAATAATAATTTTTATAATTATACTTTTAGACAAGTTTCAAGTGAAGCTTACTTGAATAAAGGAAAATAAATAATTAAAAAAGATGTTCATAAAAATATCTGTGTGTTAGTTTTATTATAAAATTATTATAAAATTAATATTGCATATCATCTATAACACAAATATTTCAATAGCTATTTTCATAGCATTTTCGAGATATTTACCTTCAAACTTCTAGGACATATTTTCCGACATAGAGATATCTCCTGATTATCCGCATCTTCTAAACCGGACACTGATGATAAAGCACACGTCAGTTCTCCGATAATATCGTCACGAGAGTATCTATCGAAACTCAACACGATGAAGTGTAAGCTAATTTTCTGGAATCACAATCGTTAAGTAGGTTACCATTCGTTTTTCAAGAAATAAATTTATTACAATCATCTTAATTATAAAGTGATATGCGCGAGAAAGAGTTTGAACGAAATCGAAGTATTGTAATTCTACCTGAAGTTGACTCTGTGATATGCCGAAAAACGTGAAATCCTCATCGTACACCGGATCTCTAGTGTTTCTGAGGACTCTAGTTTTCACGTGTTGCTGTTTATCGGGCAGCAATTGCAGCTTCACGTAAGGATCACAAGTTGCGTTCTGTTGACCTCTGGCAGGCAGCCCTTTACATTTCACTACTGTCACCGCGAGCGCGTTCTGTTCACTTCGGTATCGCAGCTTGAAGACTAACTGGCCTAGATTATCCTTGTTATTTTCTGCTGTTTGATTCTTTTCACGCTCAACCTTTTCGTTATTTTCCAGTTCAGCCTTATCGCGCTCATTTTCTATACTTACAGCAACTTCGACGGGCGGTGTCTGTACCGGCGTACCTATACCATTATTGCAAAGATATTGTTCAATAGTTTTTCAAGTTAAAATAAAATGGAATAAATTGTAGGAGCTAAAAATTAAAGAATTATGGTTAAAGAATTATGGATTAAAATTATGATTTTTTTAGATTCAAGAAGTCTATAATAAAATATTGAGAAAAAAGGAGACAGAAATTATTTTGAAGATATTAATTTTTTTGCATTTGTATAATCCCTATATATATATATGCGAAAAGATAATAAGAAAAATAATTGCAATTGCATTTAATGGCTTAATATTATGCAACGATAAAAAATGTAATTATAAGAATGGTCCCATTTTAAGAGCTTTAAAAAGCTTTAAATTAGGGGTTTTGTATATATTTAAAGAATCTTCGAGTAGTTAATCTATTATTTCGTTATGATCTTTATAAGTTGATTTATAATTTAAATATTTATATTACTTGATAGAAAGAGAAGGAGTTTTGAAGAAAAAGTAAAAAATAATCTATTATAATACAAAAAAAAATGAAGGTACGATATATTACGTCCAAAAGGATAATCTATTTTTATCATATACAAGAAGATTAAAATAGTACCAGTCTATTTCATAAAACAATCAAGTTTTCCTACGAAAAGCTCTTATTTTGATTATTAAAGAGAAAAATATTAAAATGATTATTAAAGAAAAGAATATTAATGGAAGATAATTCAGAAAAAAGGAATAAGAAAATTGGTGTCTCTACAGAAGCACATATTCATTTTGAAAACGATACTGATTAATTAATTATTTTATTATTATCTTATATTACGGATATTACCTGCGCTCTGCGGTGTTCTGGGCTGAGATGCGGGGTTCGAGGACTGAGAACCGGTTGGACTCGGTGTTTGTCCACCGGAACCGGGCGGACTCTTGGCCGGTCCCGTCGGCGAGGGGCTCTTTTTCAAATAGTGGCTCGTGCTACCAGGACTCTTAACCGCCGTCGGCTTCCGGTGCGGCGGTCTGAACGCCAGGGACTTGTCGGAGCTTAGCTTGGTGTGTTCGCGACGTCGTCGGCAGAGCCACCAGGTCATCGCGACGGCGCATAATAAGAAAGCGGCGCCGAGACATAGCGTCACCAGCGTCGCCGTCGAGACTGCAATCACACGCTCTTCGATTTCACCATCGTAATTGCATGAGAGATTTATCACTACAATGCAGCATCACGTGATGTCGCACGAGGACGAGAGAAAGAGAGAGACAGAGAGAGAATTACGTCAACTATTACTGCGATTATCCTAGAAAAATGAGACCTCGCGACATGATAGAAATATGAAACATTAAAAATTGGAATTCTTTTACATTTTTTAATATCTTTTCCCATGCTACGAGTTTCTTATTAAATTCGCGACATATTATGTAAACGTGTAAAGTATAAAAATGACTAATTATAAATTGCCTGAATGAATCGCGTGACATAACGTGTTAATTACTCCGATTTGTCGCTCCGAATTATCTCGCGGATTTGTATAGTCGGGTTAGTCGATATTGATAGGTATGCGTGCTCCATTAAACATTCTAGCATTTTCCAAACCATGCATCATGCATCGAAATCGTCATAATGCATCGACGAGTATCATAGTCGAAATGCGTCAGATTAGATTTCATTAATGTTGGAAAATTATAATTTTTCACGAGAAATTACGCAGTTGTAATTAAGGGACAAGAACTAACAGCTGTCGGTGTCCTCCATTCTGAACAATGTCGTCGTTAAATATTGTGTCGCGAATGATGGATGAACAAATTTTAATCAACATTATAGTAATCGCGCACGATGAACAAATGGATGAACCTATCGGATATGATATTAACGAGCGATTCCAGAAGGGATCAAAAACATTCGACGTACTTACCGGGCTCGACAGGTCGAATGAGGGGTCCACCCTCCGTCACTCCACTGACCATCTTCGGCCACTACCTGAGCGCTAAAGGGATGCCTTTTCCGCCTTTAGATCTGGTCACAGTGCACCGAACGAATATTTACGGGCGGCGTGCGGCCCGTCGTCCGCGGCACTCTACCTTCCGATCGTCGGCCGAAATGCGCGCGGATCAATAGCCCTCCGGTGGAGCGGAGCTTGCGCGGAGAGGATGACGTGCCGCCACCGACGATGAGGAAACCACCGACAGCGTCACTGGAAGAATGCAACGGTTCGCGAGATGAAATAGAGTAGTCCTGCGGGGGTGATCCGTAAATGCAATTCGAGATTTAACTGATCAATTTACAGATCAATACAAGTAAATACGATTGGTCTCTCTCGATCTTCGTCAAATCCTAGTCTCAATTTTGGAAAATTTTTTTCTTTCCTTTATGTTTTATATAGAATATAATCGATCTCGATTTATTATTCTCTCACATACATAATATATATGAGAGTTTTCGTACACATATATAGCATATAGGCTGATTCAATAAAAATTATCACATTTTTCTAAAATATGTATTTTACAAAAAATTCTTCAGATAAAGATTAATTCCTAGAAAAATTTTTTTATAAAACTTACATTTTAGAATTTATTAATTAAAGTGAAGAATTTATTAATTAAGACTATAATTTTTAATGACTTTGTATATTTTGAAACTCTTCAGATATAGAACAAATTTCAATTTTAAATAAAATATTTAAAGAATATATAAAATATTTATAAAGAATATTTAAAAATATTTATAAAGAATATATTTAAAGAATATATAAAATATTAAAAGAAATAATCTTAAAATAAAAAAATTCACTGGAATATTCCTATACTAAAATAAAATATTAGATAAAATATTTCTCTAACAGTTATTAATATCTATGGTTTCATTGCATCAATGTATATTTTGGCTAAAGCCAAAAAGCTTAAAAGCGAAACTTAAATATGTCTCTGTCTTTATTTATTTATTTAGAAAGATATATATATATATATATATATATATATATATATATATATATTTAAGTCTCGCTTAAATCTAAAATAATGTTGGTGCAACCTGGCCTAGATATGAAATAATATTTTCTTATTGAAAACAAGATTAAAATAATACGTGTTGTGTTAATGTAATATAGATCACAATACAGATAATTTAAAACTGTATTAATAAACCAATATGAAAAAGGAGTTTATTGCTATGTATGAATGTCGAGTAGAACTACGGAAATATTGACAAATAATATCTAGTGCATTTATAGAGCCTAAACTAGTACATTTAGTCATGCTACAGTTTTCTTTTAAATTATCGATTAATAAATATTAAGTCAGAATTTAAAGCAGGAAAAATAAAAAAAGCATTTGTCTACAACGAGAGCATTAAGAATTATTAAGAACCTATATATTTAAATTTTACATTTATAAATCTATATTTAAATGAATAATCATGTGGTTTAAAGAAAAAGAATAAAACAAGAGAATCATATCAATCTTATAGCGAATAAACAAAAAAAATCGTTAAATTATTCTCCAATGAGGTTCTTATTATTTGTATGATATTTTTAGTTTCAGGAGTTCTACATTTTCGATTAGACTCAAAATGATGACATTATGGATGGCATGTATAAATTGTATGTTGATGTGCAACTTAACTTTAAATTTCAACGCGAACGTATGAACTTTACGACCGTATTGCCATTCTATGATGTTCAATGGTTGGCATGGACGTGACATCGTGTTTTTATCGTGCTACGTTCGCCTTTGGATCCAATTTTGAAAATATGCCGAACGACATATGTACTACAATAAATTTCGATGAAATACAATATGAATGTGCCATTTCATGTATTAATATTTCCGCAACATTCTTTTATGAAATTATGATAATGATCATCCATGACAAATTATCAAATAATTGCTAACAAATTCGAAATTTAATGATGGTCGATTTATTAGTTTGTCAATAAATTGCGCCATTTCTGGTAAGAACTGAAAGTGTTTCTCAACAGGTTGTTAATTTCATGCAAATTATAGCAATACATCAATATAAATGAATTAAGAATTTATGAGTAGAAACACCAAGTAAATATATAAATAGAGTACATTTAAATAAAAACTGCGATTCACTAATTAATTTATGCATTGCTAGTTAATTTATCTTTTGACGTGTAAATTGCGTTGCGTCTAGGTCAATGGTTATCCAATGTTGGCATTGCGCAATATGATCGAAGGAAGATGACACTTTAAATTTGATTTATAATCAATTTTAATTTAAATTTAAATTAAACGAGACATTATTTTTTGAATCAAATAAAATTTAAAGTTGTTTTTTATTTAACTTTAATTATAATACATACAATACATATATATTACATACAGACAGCCGATTTGTACACTTCATTGATTAATCTTAGAAATATTTAATGTTAAAAATTGAAATCTTGCGACAAATATTTAGAGAATTCATAGGAAATCATAATCCATTAGATCTGGAATATGCAAATAATAAATTACATTGTATAAATTTACAAATAATTGAAAAATCAAAGCCAAATCAAGGCTCAATATTCAAGCTTTTAGAGTAGGAAATTAAATTTTGCATTGTCGTCTGGTACCCTGTCAGTTGCCTGCGCGGTTTAGAATAAAGACGGTCCTGTCGACTGCAAAGTTGATGCGGACACGTCACCAATCGCCTGCGCAAAGCAGATGGTATACTAACGTTTCTGACTCCCACGAGTAGCTCAATATAGCGTGAGGGACACAAGCGGCGTAACAAGGCTGTAGCATCAGTATAATATGTTGAATCATCGGTAAATACGCAACGCAAATGGAGTAATCGGAGACTTGAAAACAGGAAAAACCGGAAAAGTGAGACAAATCAATCAATATGGGTCTCAAAGACTTTCGGATAGTATTTGACAATCAATGGAGTACGTATTATCCGGGACAAACTGTGACAGGTAACATCATCATCGTCCTGGACAAAACAAAGAAAATTCGCGGTGAGTCTAATTTTTATATTATACAAAATATGATTATACATTATATGATTCAAAGTAAATTATTAACTTTTAGGATGTAATATTATTATTAATATTGTATTTAGGATGTAATATTGACTATACATGAGTTGTTTGTTATAAATTTTATTTTTTTTTAACATTTCTGCTAAATCTATTAATTCAGCTTCCGTCGCACTTCTTTTATTTCAATATAATTTATTGCATTTTAAATTGAATTTTTTTATTTGGCTATTGAGAGAAATAATAAAGAATATTTATAGTTATGTTATTCAAAATATGTTTGTTAAAATATATTATTGTTTAATTTATATGATGTATAATAAGTGCGACTTATGAATTACGAACAGGTGTTTATTGTTGACATGATTAGTTTGTGACTTTCATTTGCCTTTGGAGTTTAGTAGTAAATTCTTTAATATTTTTAATATTTTTAATATCACTAATTTATTAACAAAAATTACTAATTTATAATAAAAATTACATGAATATATGCAATTATGTATAATTATTATATCATAGATCTTATTTTGATATATTATTTATTATTTATGATTTCTGTATTATTAATCATTAACATTCTAAGGTAATGCAAAAATAATACAAATAATCAAAAACAATATAAACATTTCGATTATAATAACTATCATAAACAATCAAATCATGTATTTGTAAAAAAGATTTTTGTTTTATTTTACTAAGATTGACTAAGATTTTTGTTTTTATTAACTTTTACCTTTCACCATTAAAAAAAGCAATGATTTGAAATATATTATATTACAATATAATACATCTCCTTTGTCTGTTACATTCCTCGCGCGATCTTTTCTATTCTTGCACATGTGAGAGAGAATTAATTATAGAACAATCACATATGCACGTACTTTCGCGTTGGTCCGATTCTTTCTCGCCTTCTGCATTGTTTTGTATTGCTAAAATATATTACATCAAATATATGAAGAGATTGTATATGGTTGAATACTTAAAGACAAGAATTTATGTTTACATCTTGATTTTTTTATATTAAAAAGGATAAAGCAGAAATGAATAAAATAATTTCATATACAAATTATGTTTTTGGAGCAAACTAATGAAAAAAATTAAGAAAAGAAGAAATTAATATGATATGAAGAAATATTCTTTTCTATATTTATAACATTTGTCATCTCTTCCACACAGGTATAAGTGTGAAAATAAAAGGGGAAGCGAATACTCGTTGGACGACTGACAAACAAGAGATGGATGAGAAGGGACAATATCGAGATGAAACTCAAACTGTTACGGCGCATGAAGAATATTTCGAAACGAAATATTATTTGATTGGATCGTCCTCGGGTAAGGTCAGATTATTTATCATATATAATCAAAACTTTTTTCTTAATAAAAATCAAGCAAATAATTTCTTTAATATTCTTCCTCAATTTTTATTCTATTGCCTTACATAAATGTTCTTTTGTTAGGTGGAGAAATTGAAATACAATCAGGAGAACACAAATTTCCATTTACATGTTCTTTACCAACAAACTTACCAACCAGCTTCGAATCTGACTTTGGATACATTCGATATATCGTCAAAGCTACTTTGGATCGGCCTTGGAAATTCGATCAAGACGTTAAGAGTCCTTTTACAGTAATTGAGCCCTTGGATTTAAATCAAGAACCAAGAGCGGCTGTTTGTATCAATTTTTTTTATATTAGATATGTTTAAATTAAATACATATCATAATTATTTCATATTATTTAATATCATGTAATCATTAAATATCATTAATCTAAGAATCTAAGAAATCTCATTCCTTAAAAAAATTTATTGAACTTAAAAAATTTAGGAGAAAAATAATTATAATCATACGTTATACTTTTATACATGTATAAGGCTTGTACTATTATAATTACATTTATTTCTAAGAAGAATCTAATTCTTTATTGCACTTGTAGAAAATTAGAATAAATCTCCACTAATATGAATATAGCAATAATCACAGCAAATGTAATCGCATTTTCAGGAACCTGTAAGAGAAGAAATGACCAAGACATTTTGTTGCTTATGCTGTGGCACGCCACCTTTAACCGTAAACTTTTCATTACCAGTTCGAGGATATGTGCCTGGCCAATCAATGCCGATAAAAATAAATGTGGAAAATCATTCAAACATTATTGTAAACAGCATTAAGCTCGTCCTCTGTAAGGTATGTAACAATAATTCAGATTTTGATACACTAGAACTCAACAATATACTTCAATAATGTCTTAAAGTTTAGTGCGTTTTTTTGTTAAGAAGTAATAACATATCATGAAGTTCAGATTGTGACTTTTCGCGCTACTACACCACATACAGACACCAAAGAGGAGGAAATTGTAGTGACAGAAGTCAGCAAAGGACCAGTTGAGGGGGGTGGAATCGCCGATTACGAGCAATATTTGGACATTCCGCCTCTTCCACCATCGAATCTTGCTAATTGCCACATTATCGATCTTGAATATAATTTAAAAGTTACAGCATGTGTCGAAGGATGGTTAGTTTATCTTTTCCATAAATTTAATTAATTTTTTTTACATTTGTTTTTTATACTCAACAAATTATATAAATAATGTCATGTCAACATTTTGCATAACTTTAAATAAGGATAACTCTACCTAAGAACTGGAAAATTATTTATGCGAAATTTGGATATGAAATTGTTGACGAGTGTATATGTGTGAATTACATAATTTATAAAATAATTTTTTATAAAATAATTTTAATTCCTTATATCTTTTTGTTTTAGATATCTCATACTTTCCAATATTTTTATACTTTGCAGGTACCATCGAAATTTATCCGCCAATACGCTTATTTTCGTGGGAACAATTCCGCTCGCTACTTACCATGCTCCAAGTGCTCCGCCTGTTGAAACGGATGGCGATTATTCAATGAAATCACCTGAAGCTGGTTTCGTAGTACCTTCGGCAAATACTACGCTACCTCCATTGCCAGAATCCAATTTGTATCCAAATTTACGTAAGATCGGCAATAATTTATATTTTCCGATATAAAAGAGACATTGAATAGTATACAGTGGAATAATAAAATTTAAAGACTGAACGTTTATAAAATACATTTTTATCATAAAGTTTTGTTTTCTAAGAAATCGCAATTTAATATTCATAAAAATAATTTCTGTTAATTTGTTTTTCAGCTCCACCATCTTATGAGGAGTCATTAATCGGGGCTAAAAATCTTCGCGAACGCGGGGAATCAGAATATGTTTATGGCCTGTCTAATCGTTTCGCACCAAAATATCCAGTATATAATTTTGCTCCCATGCAATAAAGGGAGAAAGAAAGATACTGCTATATTAAGATTAGCTTTTTGCAAAATTCTAGAAATACGTACTTTGCTGCTTTGGCAATAAAAGTTTTTAAGAACGCACATAAATTACTAAATATTCGTATAGCTTTAAATACTTCTAATCAACGTTTATAAAATATAATGAATTATATATGTTATTATAAAGTGTGCAACTTTTTGCGTCCAATGAACAAACGCACAATGCTTCTCTATAGTCGGCATTTATATTTTTTTACATGTATTGAGCAGAGGTTAAACTGTCTAACGGTATATTTATTAATATTAATATATTTATATAAATATATACACGGATGATAAAATACGTACGATTTTATATATAAAGTATCGATATATAAAAGTATCGATTCTCTCTCATAAAACTAGAATTAATGATTTCGATGATTTCGATAATTAGTGCACTAGCAATTTGCAATTGCGACACTTAAAAAGCAATGCTGTATATAAGTACGTTGTGTGTGATTATTCATCATAGTCACATATAGTAACGTAAAGTAAAATAAAAGATCGATTTCACCATGAGTATTGCATTTTATATAATTATAAATGAAAAATATATTTTTAAAATTTTATATCTATATTTTATTTTAATACATATTTACAAGATCATAAAATAGCGATCTGATGAAACGACTGGAGGCAAGATTTCAAGATCATCGGGATTAGAAAAATATTAATAATTTTAAAATTTTCAACATCTTGAAAAAAATTTCTTATCAATCATGACTTATATGTATCTATATATATGTATATCTGTGTGTGTGTTATGTGCTTGAAGCAATAATTTTTTATTTGAATATATTTTTAAATTATTATAAATAATAGGAAATAGCCCGTATTGTTCAAGATTAATCATAGTAAGTACGTGATTATACTATATATTATAATGATATGCCATGCCATAATACAATTTTAATATATATATTTTTTTAATTTTCTATTAACGAATTTAACATTATATATTCGAATTATGCAATAATTTGATATAATTATGATATAATTTGTTTAATTAATAACATATCTATCTTTATATGTGATAGCGATTGCATCTAGAAAATTAACGAGGCACGCTATTTTTTCTCTGTGAAATTAATTCTTTCCATGTTTCGCAAAGATAATAATTGCAGCCTTATCGAGGTGAGATCGAATGTATTTAGTGCATTGTATTTATCTTTTATATCTTAACAAGACATATCTTGATTTTGTGCTTTATTTTTCTAATTTTACACTGTCACGCGTGGCATTATTTTAATCAAAACACAAATCTCTAGACATTGTTTGTAGATGTGTAATAAAATTTTCAAAAATGTTATAAGTTATTAAATAAGTGAATTTATATTACTGTAAATTCTTTTACATTAAAAAGTTTTTGCAATTTTTCAGCAAGATAATACCATTTTATCAATATGTAAAAATATGTATATATATATATATATATATATATATATATATATTACATTTGATGTCTCCTTTTTATTATTTAATTAGATATTTATGATATATAATAATATATGAATAATTATGTAAATGTATTAATAAGAATACTAATATTAAAAAAATAATATAATTAAAAAGATACTAAGTAATATATCTATTTAAAAAAAAATATAAATACAATAAGTAATATGTGTATCTATTATAAAAAATATAAATACAATAAGTAATATGTGTATCTATTATACACATTTATAAAATTATCGTAAAAAAACTTATTATTAAAATAATTTATATTGTTTAAATAATATAAATTGAAGAAAGAATTTATTAATTATTAAATAAATACTAATAATTATTAAATTACAGGATATCATAATAAGTTTTGTAAAAAAATAATCGCAAATTACATTTTTACATTATTTTATTTATATTCAGCCTTATTAGCTTATATGCATATACAGGGTGTTTGATAAAGGTTTGAGCAACGTTCGTGAGCGGGTACAGAAAAGCGGATAAATTGAACAGAAAAGTTCTTTATCATTTTGCAATTTTTACAATAATTATTAAAATATTAATTAAAAAAGATTTAAAAGGGCAAATAGTTGACGTGGGATGTGTGGTCTAGTTGTCTCAATAACAATACGATAACGAAAAGACAAAAGTCGAATAAGACTATCGGATAAGATATATCGGATAAGATATATTATATGTCTATGGATAAGACAAGGCCAAACTTTTCGTTTGCATATAACACTCACCACTAACATACTTATGATCTATATGAAACAAGCGTTCATTTGCCAGTTCTTTTTAATTAACATTTCAATAATTATTGTAAAAATTGCAAAATGGTAAAGGACTTTTCTATTTCAATTTACTGTGCTTTATCCGTTCACGAACGTTCAATTTTTATCAAACACCCTATATACATAAATACACATATAAATGAGTGATGATTTCAATGTACATAATTTATATGTGCATAATTTCATATGTACATAATATATGTTAATTATGTATGAGATTTGCAAATATTATTTGTTTTTCAATTAATAATGCACATGATTCAATGTAACACAAATATTATCATTTATTGCAAAGTTTCTGCACAATCAAGCATACATTGATATATATTATATTAACAAATATACATTATAACAAATGAGCACATTTGGAAATTTTAAGTAAAAATGTTACAATAAACATATGTCCAGAAATGTTCTTTATATAGTTATAACTGTTTCACTTTTTTCAAGTCATATTTTCTTTATTATGATGCATATAATTATTAATAAAAGTTCTGAATTTTGTCGCGAATTTATAAATCGTTTAAAATAGACTTGATAAATAATATCTTTTCGGTGCATTTTATATTTGATCAACTTATGAAACAATTATGTTTAATTGAAAAAATCGCGAAAGAGATATGTAAAGCTTCTTTTAGACAATACCGTGGATTTCGGTCGACAAATATGCTTGGCAAGAAATGTATGACAAAAGTACATTTTCTTGGTCGATGTAATATCACTGGGCAACCTTTTCGCGGCCTTGAAAGCGCGAAATGAAATATTCGTGAACCTCATGATCTGATTTTTTAGCGGATGTTCAATCAGCGAAACAAACATGGGACGGAATTTCGTCGATATATTCTTGTATCATAATCGAAAAAATCGTCGCATGTTATTATTATATGATATTGCATTGTAACGATCCTCCTGCATTTACGATGTTACTACGACGTCATATGCTCATACGTAACGATTTTCTACATTGTTGATGACCTAGCTGATGTTTTGCTCAACGAATTGATTGCAATCGTGTGATTGATCGTAATATTATTACATATGGCGCATTATTGGCGACATATTTAGATGAATCATCATCTAAAGCGCACGGTTAATGACAACATTCTACGCATTGACTATACTTCGCAAGCGTATACTTATGTTGTCAATTACGTAAGCAGAGCGACAGTAAACGTAGACCTTTCTGATAAGTAAATTGTAACTTTACTATGAAGTAACTATTAGAGTTTTGACTCTCCAATGTACAGTGTTCTTTGCAATAAAATAACGCGGAAAAGTCGCGAGAATTTTAAGTAAGAGTCGTAGAACTTTGTTAAAATTTTAAATAGAATTTTTCCACAATTAAAAACTAATTTTCAAGGCATCTTTAAAAAAATGTATGTTTTCAAAAATATTGATTGAAGACTTTGATAAGCTTTGATACCAAATCTTTATAACAATTTCTGTTTTGTAAAAGTAAGACTTAAGATAATTTTATTATATTATTTTATAATATATTAATTATATAAACTGTACAATTATATGGCGCTACTTAATCTATATTTATTGCGTATATATGTATATATCGAATTGATAAAATCGATAAAATTGCTTTGAACATATCGAGCGAATGTCTTTACGTCAACTTTCCATCTGATCGAAATTGAGACTGAATCTTGATGGATTAATATATGACCTCACAACGCCATTATCTATTATTATTCAGTGTTATTGTGACCCAATTTCGCTCTCATTCAATATTTCAATATAAATTTTCATAGATTCAACGGATTTTATGTTTAAAGTTGAAATTTTTTTATATTAAACAAACTAGGCAAAATTAATAAAATTTTATTTTCTGGAATATTTTTAAAAATCCATTTCTTCACGATATATCGTTGCTCTCTAAAATAAAGTGCTAAAGTATTGTTAATAACAAGATTTTTTAAATATTTTAATAATTTATAAATAATTTTAAACGACGTATCGATATACAATATTGATATACGCACATATATATAATACAAAAGAAATAAAGTGAATTAACTTGATTATTTTTGAATCTACATTATTGTTTCATTAAAAAAATAAAAATTAAATCCGCGATATCTCTAAAACTCATTATATATTATTAATATCTAAAATAATTGGAAATTACAATAACAGTACGATATATATAAACGAGAAAAGAAGTAGAGATACATTTATGTGCGCAACTTATATTGTAAATTCATCATTATTACGGCATCAGTACGACATATTTCTCAGTGAATTTTACTTTGAAGCGCCGAGAAATATATAAAGCAACAATTGTATAAGACGGGCGACATTCTCTCGCATCGTCAATCAAGGCTGCGACATAGAATAAACTTTAGTTCGAAACTGTCGAGGTCTCTAGATGGGCTCTATGTCTGCGTTTCGACCTCGTTGACGATCGATAATTCAAACCATATCGATAAGCGGAAGCGTTGCACGGAATGTAACGACGGTATGACGTCACATGTTTGCTGTGTACTCTCGTGTTCAAGTAATAAAGTAAAACGGCGTCACACAAAAGCGATCTATAATCAGTGTATCTCACACATCGGTCAGTTTATTGCCAGACAGATTGAGCGGTTGCAACCACCTTGCGAGGGTTGGTATTATACCGAATGATTCTGCCATCGTGGAATCATCAAGAAGTTGGCAAGCCTGTCTACATAGATTTAGCATATAACCTCGTACCGTGACCCTCGTTAGGGGTTGAAAGTGCCGTATACATCCCGGGTGTCTATTTTCTCTTCAAAAGAGCAGATTATTTGCATTTATTGCAAGGCGAGAAGAATAGAAAAAGCATGTCGACAATTCGCTTCTGCTCTTTTAATTCTGCAAATAAAATCAATTTTATGATAATTATGTTTTTTATTTTATAATTTTCTCTTTTTTCTTTCTTTTATTTCTCGAGAATTTTCTTTACTTTTTTAAAACATATTATTTCACTTCTTCACAAGGATTCACTTATATAATCTATTACTTGGTTACGATACAATTTTACAAGTGTCTGTTTCATTGTTATCCTCTTCTCATTTTACCTCACATTATGATCATTATTATTAATTAAGCCATGTAGTTATAAAAGTAATTATACAAATAAATCATCGATGAAAATGACACATCTAATAACAAGTTAACGTTGACAGTTGCAGAATCGAGTAGTCGAGTCCCAGTTTGCGCCACCCTTGGTCGTGCTGGGCTGCGTGCCGGTACGTGCGCGGTGCGCCGAGGCGCGCGTGTTACACCTCCTGTCACAGACACGTCCGTCGCGCCGCAGGACAACTTCCCTCCGTGGCCGTGGAAGAAAAGACAGAGCCGATTGGAGCCGCTGCATTTGTCCGGTTCTCCGGTCATCAACGGCCGTCAACATACGACAATCAACGACAATCACCTCTCCATAAATCCCCTTCTCCGACGTACGGCTCCAGAAGACTGTCATCGCGCGAGAATTGCCAGCGGACAGACGGTACACACGTGTACGCACGTGTGGAAGAAGAGGCTCGCTGTCACGAGACGCGTCTTGCCACACACGTGTTGATTTTGCACGCGCGCGAATACGCGACGTGCAAATTATCGCGTCGTCGTTATCGTTCGAGACGAGGTCAGGCAGGAAGCGCGGTTTCGGACCGTCGTTCGCACGCGTGCTGTTTTCCGCGCCGATTGTGACGGAGCTGACGTGGAGCCGATCGCCTGTTCGCTAAAACACAACGAGCGAATCGATGCCGCGTCGTGAATCGGAATCGCGATCGTCGAGCAGCTAGCACGCGATCTTATCATCGTCCGGAGTCCCCTGCGCCGTCGTGTCCGAGGGACGAGGAGAAACAGCGAGGATTAGTCAGCCTCGACAATCTTGAGGACGGATTCTAGGAGCATCGCGCTTGCTGGGACCACCTTGTGGGTTCCTTTTGCAACAGGTACGCCTCGAATATGTACTATTTATCTATATCTCGTAAAGGGGATGATCTTGATTGGCCGTCGTTGACTATCTCGATTGGCGATTAGCAGGATTGACCGATACATACGAGTTGAGTAATTTGTACTATAATATCCATGAAATATTCGCGACAATCCTGTAAATACTTTGATCCCTTTAACAGGTCACTTTAAGTCGCGTTTCAAGATCGATTCCGAGTTAATTTATAATATAGTATGCATCGCGACTATACTAACCGTTTATGTAATGGTCGAGCGTAAGAAGATTGAAATATTGTTGTTTCGATCCATTATTCATGGGATTAGCATCAGTTTAGATAAACATAAAGTTGTTCTCCAAATTACTGTTTACGCTTAACGCAAAGATAAGAAAAAGTGCTAAGCATTTTTGCTCATGCGAGGAATATGACTCTTTTAGAAGCTCGGCAACTTTTTGCCGTTTTTATCTTCTTCCGAGAGAGAAAAGATTATGAGGAACTCATATGAGAAAACACACGACACGCTGCAGGTGCATAGGTAAAGTGTGAAGATGCCAGGGCTTAGATACTTGGATAAGATAAATTATTCGCGCTTCTATAATATCGACCATCCTAATCTCTAGTGTATGCACATGTATCTCCATATGATTATTAGATTGTGCCGAAACAGCATGATAAAACGTTTTTTCTCATGACTCACGCCAAGCTGAATCGTTTATAAAAAGAAACAACGTGCGAAGACTGACAATATCTCGCTCCTCTTATTACTTATTTGCATTGAAGAAGATAATTAATGCTGAATAACTTGTCGAGAGAAAACAATAGCTTTTTGATCGCATCATAGTGTGCATTTTTTGTGTGTATATTGAATCTAGTAATTCACGTTCTAGCAATATTACTTATTGTTTCTGTATTTCAATCACAGTTATTATCAACCATGATTAATTTTATTACGCATTAATTATTTAATTATTTAATTATTGTTATTATTTAGTTATTGATAGTCTAGCAATCTTTTATAACAAATTAAATAAAAACGTTTTCTAAATTTAAAATTTTGGATTTTTAATTAACTGGTATTTGTTTTACTGAAGATTGGGTGGTACAGTTTATTTTTTATAAATTTGTGGTAAAATTTTATAATTTAAAATTTAATAATCAGCAAATTTTATAAGAATACCTTTTATGGATACTTTTATTTCATATTCGTGTTTACATATTGATATGTCTATCAATTTTATGTGACGAGTGAGTTTACGCAAAATGAAAAAAAATACGAAAGTGACATTAACACTAGGAAAATATTTGGTTATACTCGCATGAATAACTTCTCTTTTCAACTTCAGTATATTTTCACGCGTTTTCGTTATTTGCCTTCATCTGTCACCCATTTTCGCTTTATGCATCTTAGTAATATTCGCTAATTATGTATTGATTTTTCACCGGATATTTACATTGTTCTCGCTTATAATGAAGTAACAAACACTTCATCTTGAACTCTCTCTCTTCTAATCCTTCATCGGATATCTCTATTTCACGCCGCTGTTTACCAAGTCTTATTGTTAAAAAAAAGGAAAGAGTACATCTTCTTTGCATTCGCTCGAAATAACGAAGTGATTGCTCTTGTCCTTTTTGTTCTCCGCTTGTTTCATTTTCTTGTCGACTACATTCGTTGTAGTCTAAAATATCAAGCCACGGATTAGCCTACTTTCCGCATTAATTTGGAGCTTTGGTGCTTCACACAAAGAATACGCGAAGTACATAATTGCATGTACGTAATTATCCTCCCCACCGTATAATATGCTCTTGGAAAATATGATAACGAGCATTGTGCAAAAGAATTTTTGCGAAGATAACTTCAGCTTATAGTAATTTTGCGTCGTTGTTGGAAATTGGAAATCTTTGATTATTTTTATGTTGAAAACATTTGGCTATTAAATGTGCAATAATAATATATGCAATATATCAATTTTTTATGCAGGTTAATTTAACTTCTAATGCGAAATCTCTCAAAATTTGAATTTTGTTCTTTTATTTTTTGCACGAAAATTAAATAAAAAAATTAAATATATTAATTTTTTTCCTATATTTTTTTTGTATAAAAATTCACATAGCCTACATTTAAAAAAAGATTTAAAAAATCTTAAAGAGAAATAATAATTGAGAAATTTGATCTATTGTGTGGATTCTTTTTTCAAAATCAAAATTTTTTCAATTTTATTTAATTAACAATTAAGTAATTTTCTTGTAAAATCTCCATAAAATCATTGAAAGCATGTTATTTCACGTGAAATAAGAACTAAAACATTAGCAAAATTTGCTAATCAAATATCGACATAATTAAATTGACATGAGTAACCGTAAAATACTACATGCACGCGATAAAGTGTGCAAGAAAGAGCAGATATCACGCGACAACACGAAAATATGTACATGTATGTATAAGTATGTATATTCGCCTCAGTGGTTCTTGAATATCTATTTTTTTTAATGAATCATTTTTAATTATCATAAAATTGAGTAAAAAGAAAATATATCAATATTCTCTTATATCAGTTCAAACTATTATTACAGTAAAGTTCGAAAAATTAACTGTTAAAATGCATGATGGAATTATTTATAAACATAATTATATAGCGATGATTTGAAAAATTTTAGATTGCAATGATACAATTATATAATATTAAATGCAATTATACAATATTAAAACAATAGATGTTTAGAGTTAACGTTTTCTCCGCTTGTGTAACAGTGATTAAAAATTTTTTTAAACTAACGTTATCAAATTGACTAACGTTATAAAATTAACTAACGTTAATCAAATTGACTTTGATATTTTAATTTTATATTCACTTTTAAGGACCTTAAAATTAAAATAATCACGATATAACAATTATAAATTAACATTTGCAGAAAAAAATGTACATTTAGCAATAAGAAATAAATATAATATCTTGATTAAAATAACTGAAAACTAATGAATTAATGAATGATTAAACATAAAAAAGTTTAATATAAATAAAATTAGTTATATTTTCATGTTATAAAAATTTGCTTTTCGTCTTTTTGAACTTGCATTAATTTAATTTGTATTACATATGCATGAAATAAATTTTAATGCTTATTTTCCTTAAATATTAGCCTATCTATTCGCTTTTATTGAGATTGTTTCTTTCTTTTTTATTTATTTGACGTATAATACTCGAACTTTAACATTATTATGTCCGACAAGTTCCCATATTGTATTTCTTAACATCTTATCCACCTTTCGTCAAACTATAAAAAAAAAGAAAACTAAGTGACGCTTCACGTGAAGGAGAGAGAGCGAAAGAGAGAGAGAGAGAAAAAAAGAGAGAGAGAGGATTAAATTATATATTATTATATTATTCTATATATATTACAATAAATAATAAAAGAATTAAAGTAGAAAAAATTATCTATGTATTTTAAATGACTATTTGATAAATTTATTATGCGTAAGAAATGTTTCACGTTAAGTGAAAGTGAGACAAATGTCATTGGAACCTTTTGCTATTGACTAAATTAATCAAACACAAAACATCATGAATACTGAAAGATATAATTTGTAAGTAGATCTTTATCTCTCAAGCTTGGAATTTTCCAGACCTAATAAAATAGGTCAAACTTCGAGTTCAAATTTTAAATAGTTTGAATATTTTTAGACGTTGAAGATGATAGTTTAAATTTAAATTTATAGTAAAATAATATAGATAAATTAAGCAATATGTATTATAAAAGAAAACAAACAAAAATTGATTATTTCCTGATATCATTTTTGCTTAAATTTTTTAAAATCTGAATAGTCGCAGTTTTGGATATTGTAAAAGTAACAAATAGTTGACTTTATAAATAAATTTATTGAATTTATAAAATCAACGATAAATCGTATAGAATTTAATGCGTATTGATTATATAAAGAACTTAAAAGTTCTTTAAACGAAAAATTAAAAAAATCATTTCTAAAATTGAAAATATCATCAGTCTATTATTTTTGTTTCAATCAATTAATTAAAAAACTTAATGTTCAATTTCATTAATGTACACATTTTTCTCAAATAAATAACATTTAGATTTTAAATTGATTTTAAGTTCTTTTGATGCTGGATCTTTAGTAAAAAAAGGTCTATTTTCATGTTAAATACAATCGATTTTTCTTTAATTAAAACACAGAATCAACGGTTTATGATAAGATTAAAAATATTCGGATAGTCAAACTTATTGAGTAACGAGTACTATAGGCGACAACTTTTATGCAGTTTATAATACAACAGCGGATCAATTCATGTATTAAAAATTAAATTCTTTCGAAGCAGTTGTTAAAAGCAATTTCTTTATCTACAAAAAGCAATAGAAGTTGCTGATATGTTGCTAATTCAATAAGTCTCTTACATTTAATTTTTCTACAATTATGACAAAATATTTTTTTATCTCTTTCAGTATCTTTTAACACGCAAGTGTTTTTAACACGATGCCCTTTAAAGATATCATCATATGTCAGACAAATTTTAATTAACGATTTCAAAGCTATATATTTCGCATGATGGTTAATTTGCATGTCTATTTCATTTAATTCTTTATAAAACTATATTATATTTTCTAACATTTTTTTTGCTACGAAATTACATTAGATCTGTGATATGATTAAAAATAGTAGTAAAGATAAAAGAATTTAATAATATTAAAGTAAAAAATAAATCAATATATATCAAATAAATCAATTTATTCAAAGTTTTCTCATAGATTAAACTTGGTACAAAAAGAGATTCTACTTTGTATTTGCATTTATAAACATACATGAAAAAATTTATTAAGAATTTTTGAAGAAGGTTATAAATTGAAAATATATATTTTTTTATTATCGCCATTGAGAAGATATGTCTGATAGTATATTTATCGTAACCTTATCGTGTAATTACCTATACTTTCATCTAAATTAATGTATATGAGTGGATGATAAATTATTACTCTCTCTTCCAGAAAACTTTTTTTATGATAGGTATAGATATAGAAGAGGGATATAACTTAGATTAGGGGTTGCAGACGCCGCTGTTTCGTTTCCAGAAATTTTTCGAAGGCACTTTGATAAATAGCCTCCGTTGAACAGACAAAGAAAGACCACGCTAAACTACGTTCGCCGAAAGTGATTTATGTAAGCAATGAGTTTCGCATCAATCTACGTAATTTTTTGATTAATTAGATAATAGAGAGTTACTGTGTGAAGTTCCAATTATTTTCATAATAATTACCATTATAGAAAATATTTTTATATTACTCTATCCAAATAATGCCATGTAGAAATTGGATAATTATATTATTTCTAAATATTATAAGAAATTTTTATAATAATATTATGTGTTTTATAATAATAATATCATAAAAATTTATAATTTTTAATTTAATTAATATTTTTGATATATCTTTAATATATTTAACACTATAATAATATTTCATAAAATGCAATTTTTTTATACAATTAAAAAAGTACATCATTTTAAAATAGTGTTTTGATTGCAAAATACAATTCTTAAAAATCTCCTTCAGAATTTACATATGAATGATGATAAAAATCAATAGTAACTTTTACATATTTGTATCATATAAATGAATTATGTAATTAATTTAGAATTTAAAGTTATTAAGAATTAAAAAGGCTACTAAAAATTCAAGTTATTAGAGGTTAATAAATGAAAATCGTAATTTGCTTGCTTTGAAACGATGATTACTATAACACTGTTCGAATATTTCTCTACTGTGTGCTGAACTACTTATATTTTCCACGGTAATCAGTGACTCATTCACGACGACAGTATAGGAAGAGAAAGTTGCGCAAAAAAAAAAGGAAAAAAATAAGTATCACGTATATACGACGTGATAACGTCGCGGTTAGAAAACACAATCGAGTGGTGAATCGCATGTCTATATAACAACTATATAATTCTTGCGAACTAGACCCACTAACCGAGACACGTTGGTTATCGATCTATGATACTACACGCACGTATGTGTGTCATAAGCAAATACGAGGTACGCGCAAACTTTAATGCTTGCATATGTGTACGTAACGCAGGCAGAGAGCATAAAATATGAAGCTTCTATAACACAGATTTAAGAAACTGTATAATTAATTTGTAAAAGAGAGAGAGAGAGAGAGAAGAAGGGAAGGAGAGGAAGAGAGAAGAATAGAGAGAGAAAGAGGAATTAAAATAGAGGATTTAAATAGCACTAATCAAAAGATAAACTTTAAACAAAAATTTATACGCTTATTGAGGAGTTTGTTTCTCTTCACACTTTAAATTTAATATTTAATATTTTTTATAAATCAAAGATTGTATTAAAAAGTGAAAAGGTAATATATAATAAAACTATGTAATCAGTATAGTCTTTTCATTGAAGAGAGATAAGAAAAATTCTAAGTTTATTGTTCTTAATATTCTCTACTATTCGTTACTTTGGCAACAATCCTCGTATACAATACACTGTATTCCGTTATGAACAGGCAGAGTACATCGACCACGAAACTTAAGTACACGTATAAAGCTAGATAAATGACAAACCAGACAATTTAAGCCGAAAGGAGGTTTCTTTGTTCTCTCGCGTTTCATTGTAATGCAGACATGGAAAACTAATTATGATATTTCATTGTTTAGCAACTATTGTTTGAAATTAATTTCTCGATTTTTAAAGCAGCGTGAATGCATCGACAATGTCGATCGATTACTACAATATTTCTAACTTAATCGTGGCCATATAAAATAGAGATATGAAAAGTTATTATGAATCATTGAATCTTCTTTCTCGTTAAAATTTTAATAGAGACCAAAAATCAAATTTTTATAATTATATAACCTAATAATTATATAAACTATAATTAAATTATATTAATTATAAAAATGATTCTTATTTTTATTCTTTTTAATAGCTGATCGTAATAAAAGTATTATAATTACTGAATGTATTACTTGAAAATTTTACACAATTTTTATTCTAAAGATTTTAAAGAGTCTTAACTTTTCTAAAATTAATATTTTGCAAAATATCAATGTATAATTTAAATTTTATTTTATATATTCGTAAATTATATATATTCCCTTTAATCTAACAGATGTTTTTTTGTGACAGGGCAAGAGTAGACGGTAATCGACGAGGCCCTAATGCAAGTTGGCGATTTGTCCGATCTTGGTGATCTGGGCAATGTCTTAATTGCGACGGCGGGGCGATGACGCTCAATCACCGTCCCCCATCATTAGTAGGGGTCCTTCAGGACTCGCTCCTCCTGCATCCGGTTTCGGTCCTGAATTTAATCTCTGATAACGATTGTCGCTGTTCAGCGAGAAACGTCGTGAAAACGCGCGCGACTGTTGCAGTCGGGAGGAGGTATGAGAGACCGTTCTCATCATTACCGGGATCATCACGGACACGCCATGCCCCTCGAGGAGGTTCAAGGACTGTTACTTCCACCTTCCAGAACAGGTGAGTCACACTCTTATTCTCGCGACAAGTGCATACAAACAATATTCTCCCTTTTATTTATTAATATGGAAGTAAGAAATAATTATATTTTGAATTGTATCTTCAATTGAAACATAGACTGAGATTTTCATGAAGCAATGACCTCCATGTTTGAGTTGAACGTATTTATATTTCGTCTGCAGAATCAAACTTACATTAATGTAAAAAGAAAAAACTAAAACGCTATATTATATGATTATCAACGCGCGAATTTCTTATTATTTTCCTAATATCATTAGCGTAAAATAATTAGGATATTTCTTGTTTATTTCGCGAAAAATGATTGAAATGTTTTGTTTACATTCGTATTCTTGAAAAAATACAATGTTTACAAAAAAAGAGGAAATTTGTGTTAGATAATCGAAACTTTTTTGTTTATTTTTATATCCAATAGACATTGTGTGTGAAAAACAATGTAAAAAACAAATATACATACATGAATAGTAGAAAGGGTTAGATTAATATGAGATATGTATAGAAATAATACAAGATCAATCGTCGATGAGCGAGAGATAGAGTCATAAGTAAATTTAAAAACTTTTAAGGTAAGAGAGAGATTAACAAGTCATTGTTTTTGTAATATATATTGTTGTAATATTTTAATTAATATTCTTAAATATCTTACTCGCTGATATCATGTTTTTTCTTTTAATATTAGTTAAGACTATTCTTTACTAATTATCGGAAAGATTCGTCCACTTTTTCCGAAAATTTATATGAATTTTCTCAACATAAGCTAGAAACATTATTCCTTAATATTTATCGCGATGCTATGTTCTATATGTCAATGTCGAAAAAATCAAGCAATACGTTTCGTCCATATTTATTTCGCTTGCGTGTCCAATCATTGTTTGTTAATGTGGGTGCGTGTTTTCTGTATCAGAAGAAAATCAAAAAGAGATGGTTCTTTTCATTATTGGACTTATAGTACTACCGGGCATGTCGACTGTTTCTTTTAACAACTGTGGAAATTTTCTTTTGATGGAATTTAAGAATGTAAAGAATTCTACTCTTTTTTTTCACAGAAATATTTGCTAATTTATTAATATTAGATTTTCCAATTATTTTTATTTTTTACATATAATAATTTTTACAAGCGCGTAAATTTTATATACATATAGAAAAAGAGAGAAAGAGAAAGATAGTAAGCAAAAATTAAATATATATATATTAAAAAATACCATTTTTTATATATCATAATTTCTGCTTTTATTACTTCAAACTTATATATATTACGCAAAAGTGTAATCTCATTTTTTTCACCCTAAACTTTATCTTATTTAAAACTTTATTCCTCCTTTACGTATATTCTCTTCCCTTTTATATTTTTTCTGCCTCCACATTAAAATTCAGATGGCGAATCGTATGATACTTTACGTAATATTTTGCATTTTACGTAATATTTGTTAAAATTGTGTTGGTAAAAAATCTCAATTACGAATCAAATAATATATTAATATGAGTATTAATAATAATAAAAAATGTATCATTATATTAACAATATAATAATACATTTTTTTTCATTCAAAAACAAAATTCGTATCTCAAGTGTACATCGATGCTGATATTATTCATTTAATGGAAGCTATTTTTTCATTTAGAGACACTGTTTTGCAATTTAAATGGAATTCGATTTTTAATCGCATCTATAGCGTTTATTTCTTACGTGTACCATTAAAATACTATATACGCTTTATCCAGGGAGGACACAAAGGTCTTGTGATCGGAGGATTCTGGACAGATTATGCCAGCCATACATACTCTACATACGTAAACTTCAGTGTACGTTCAGTGTTTTGGAATAACTTTCTCTCTCTTTCTTTCTTTCTTTCTCGATTCACCTCTTTTTAAATTTTCATGAAAGTTCCGAACGACGGAATCCCGAATTCCGGCGATGGAAAATGCGCATATATATAATTCGTGTGGAAATTCTAGCTTTACGAGCATTGGCCTGTAAATCGTAAAACTTCAACATTTCTCTTTATTACTGTAACCATACATGCGTAAAGATCGCGGCAGTTTACGATACCCCAGGTGTATGTTCGTTTGAAAGAAGGATACTGAACTTAGTTTTTATGAAGACCCGCTTTAGAGATACAGAGAACGATTTCGCGAAGGTCGCATTCTAAATATTCAAATTTCTTACGCCCCCGGTTTGTTTTTGACTAGATAGAATCGTTTTCTAGGAAAAAATAAAATTTAAAACTTAAAATATTTAAATATCAAGTATACATATACAACAATACATATACAACATGTATACATACACGCACACACACATATAATGCAATTGCCTTCAAATTAATGAAATCCTGTTATGAAATTTACATCATAATTTTGTAACATTTTTTTTTATATACATATATGATTTGATATATGTACAGTCTTTCACTCATGCGATAAGAAGCAAAAATGTATTTCGAAAAATCATGCAAAAATCAATTTTGTTTGTCAGAAATTTGACATATTTTTTTGTATAAGTTACTTCGATACTTTTATAATAATATTATTTTTCCAAGTTTGAGATACATTTAACCTTTAAAATGATAGATGCTATGGTAAATTCAGTGTAATCGTTTATTATCAAATCGATTAATTATACAATAAGGTTCTCGCGATTTAGTTTGACGACATGCTAATATCTTCTTTAAACCGTAAACGAGACATACTGGCCGCAAATTGCGCGAATAAATTTTCTTCAGGATTAAAGCTTGTACTATGCTTACGTGCCGTAGGGCGAACCGTTATAAATCAATAAACATCGCATCGGCCGATCGTACATCGAATTATCGCACGAACGAATCGCGGCCGACCGAGGAGACGAGTACTTCGTCCGGTTAAATGGATTCAATTTTAACTCGACTCATTTGAGGATGAGGCAAATGATACGGGGGTTAATTACCACTTAGCGACATCCCTGCGAAGTGTTGTCCCCTCTATCCTTCTCCATCACCTTCCCCGGAGACTTCTCAGCTCGGTTATCATTTCTTAATGATAATTTTGTATACCAAGCTGATGAGGTAGCACGCGATATAATTAATAAAAAATGTAATTAACATAACTAAAGAGTATTGTGTATTCTGGTTAGGCTTTTTATTTTTTATAGATTGCAAATTTTTAATTAAGGATGACAGAATTTATTCTTTTATAGAAATGCTAATATTGACATATATCTAAATGATTATTAACTTCTTTGCTACTGATCTTACTTCCAAGTTAAAGATAAATCTTCTTATATTTAATTGCAATTAAAGTTATTAATAAAAAATTTCGTAAATTATTTAATTAATTTTAACGCTTCAGTGTATTTACTGCATTTATACCAATATATTGCAATTATTTATTATATAAAATTTGTAAAATACTTGTAAAATAAGTGAGAAAAATTCAATTATAAAATAATGTTTGTCTTTTTATGACTTTAGATTTACGGTTAATGGCTTATTTCGTGATTTTTATTAAATACATTGACAAAAAGCAATCTCTTAATTAAGAGATACTTTGTGAGCGATTACGAATCGGCGTTTTTATTATAAAGCTGTGGGCGAATTAAGAGAGCGCTTTTATATGATTTTCATTTTCTCGCTAACGAACTCACTGATCCCCTCTCGCCCAATTAGAGTCCGCCCTTCAATTTCGCCATGAAGGAACGACAGGGACTTAATTACATTTTCCCGTGTTCGGTCATTTATTTTTAACGAGCTGGCTCACCATAGTCTTTCTCTCTCTCTTCCTTTTTTTGTTTTATGGCAGGTAACCGGGGACCTCTGAATGTGACGATTGTACAGGTCGGCAGAGGAAATGGAGGCGGTGGAGATGGCGGAAGTGATTTACTGAGATTGGAGCCGCCGTCGGATTTAAGACCGGTTCCGTCACCCCTATCTGACACCAGTACTACCTTGCAGTCTGACAACAATGACACCTTGGCCGGAGGTGAGAGAAATATATCCCGATATATTCGTTTCAAAGATCGTTGATACTTGCTTTAACTATATTTAGTTTTAAACTTAGCAAATTTAAGGCACTTATCTCAATGATATTAGATTAGAATGTCAAAAATAAAAATTCGTGCGAATTTTTCTCTTACACAATACATTGAGATAAATTTATTTTATAAATAGGCATCGAATATAAACATACATTTTGATTAGATAACAATATTTTCTTATTCTCTTCTTATTACTCTTAATATTATTTTGTTTAAAAAGATTAATATTTAAAAGAATTTTTGAGAATAAGAAAAGTTTGTATTAATTACTTTTAATAGTATATTAATTGCAATTTCTGGAACTATCAGTATATATATATTTCTTATTGATGATTGAGTTTCGCTCACTTTTAGTGCGTAGTAGCTTGTATGATATCATATCCTGCAATCAAAAGCGTTTTAGCAAGAAGCTTTTTGGTTTCAGTTAGTTTGCCAAGGATTGATGAAAGAAAAAGCCAAAGTGCATCAAAAATAGACATGAGAAAAATGATATTATACGTTAATGTCTTATATTATATATGTTTTGTAATCAATATATATATATATATATATATATATATATATATATATATAATTATATTTATTCTATTTTTTTATTTACTTAAATTTATATAAATTTATTAGTGCAACAAATTTTTATTTTTTAATATTCGAAAGTTTTAATTTAAAGTTTAAGAAATTATAATTTGCACGATTATTCGAAAGAAATATTTAATTTTCTTAAATATAAGTTCAAGAGGAAAATGAACTAATGAAAGCAAGAAGCAAAGATGCAGAAAATAAGACGCAAATTATCTTCAAAAATTTCTTTAATTATCTAGAAAAACGTTTTAATCTTTTCTCAGATCATCTAGTTATGATTAACACATACCATATAACGAAACTTATATTTGGGTAATTAAAGGATTTTTTTTTAATTATTCATGCCCTGTTTTCTGCACTTGGCTTTCTTCAGTTTGTTTTTTTCTTATTATATAATTAATTGGAGAGCCTCACATTTTATTTTATTTCTGTTTTTCTAGTCGCTATTGAATATATACGTAATATTAATTATTTATAAATTTTATTCTATATTTTTATTCTATATTTTGTGACGAATATATAATATAACAAAGTTGATGGTAATTAATGTACGTGTGTGTGTATGTATGTACGCGCGTGTACGTTTATGAACTTGTTATTTTATTATGAATTAAATACAATTGCAAAATTAATAAATTTCCAGGTGTCGATCCAAGATTATTGCTAGGAACCGGTGGTGATCGTACCTGGGAAGGTCGCTACCACGTGAAGGAACATCGACGTGCTGGAAAGGCTACTTTCCAAGGTCAAGTTTACAACTTCCTGGAACGTCCCACCGGCTGGAAGTGCTTCCTGTACCACTTCTCTGTGTAAGTAATGACAATATTCAATATATGCATGCGATTTTGGCACGGCTTTCTAATAGGGCACATAATAGTACATTATTCACGTCCTTGAAATATTATGCATCAAGGAACGAAATATTTATATAATGAATTCATATTGGCACTAGCATTAGTATTCTTTATTTTTGGCTTAATAATGAATACGTTATTCATTTATCGGGTGTCTACAGTTATAACAGGAGATCCAATAAAAAAATAAAGTAAAGAGTTTACGGCATCAAGGCATAAGTTCGCATATCTTATTGATTCGTTTTATCAATCGCTCGCAACGCTCAATACATCAGAAAAGAATTAACGCACTTGATGGTTTTCTACAGTATCAATCTTTGTCATTTAAAAACCATTATTAATGTTTCAAAAAAGATTGATGGGAGTTCCAAAATCTCCCTTTATCTCGGATCTGATGTATGAGTAGCGATTAATATGTATATGTAACAGATTTTTAAAAAAGTGAGTACTTAACTAGTCTTTGCTATAATTATTAACAAAAGAATTTCCTCTTTGAACGATAATTTAAATTAAATGAATAAAAGATTACGAGAGATTATTTTTAAAATCGAAAAACTCAATAAAGAAAGAGTATTTGGATAAAAACATATACAATTATTTACTTATTTTCGTGTTTCTATTGACTAATTTAAGCTCATGAGAAGAAGAAACTAAAAAAAATTACGAAATCGTAACTCAAAATTTGTTGTGATAAGAAATCTATTTCTTTCCGAGTATACTTAATAGTAATATTTTTTTTAATCGTATTTTTTTAATAGTAATATTTTTTTTTATTGCAATTCGCGGTTTACATTATAATGAACGTTATAGAAAATGCAATTGTTTATTAGAACTTTATATGATGGACGGAATATCTGTCTATATACAAAGCGTTTTATGCTTTCTCTGGAATATATTTTTTTTCAACATTATTGATACATTAAAGATTTATCGCGTTATGCGACACAATACGATCAGAGTTTATTGTGAAAAATTGAGAAAAGGAATAACGATATACATGTTTCGTAATAAGATAAATAATGTAATATGCAGAAATATTTTTTAAATTCTTGAATTCAAAACATTTATAGAATGTGCCTTTTTACGATATTATTTTTTTTACAGTAATATCAGATTTAATTTATACGTTTGACATGATTATATCTTTCTTTATAAGACATTCATAATTAGAAGAAATGTATATTTTTGAACAATTGACTGCATTACATTTGCTATTGCATGGAGAATTAATTAAATGATTAATCAATTATTTTTCAAAATTTTGCAGTTGTTCGCGTCCGAGATATTTTCTAACAATTTTGTGATATAACGAATGTAATTATTTAAAATATTTTTATTATTAATCAATATATTCTTTACAAAATGCATACATATATGCAAAGAGATAAAAAATATAATAATTTTTTTTTTATTTTCGAAATATATTCATCAATCGTTGCACATTTATACAAAATATTCTTATAGCTCACGTAGCTTAAGTTTAAAGCGCATAGATGGCAGACCCCATATTGGTATTAACTACTCGAGGTCTGATCAATATTCTACCATTTATCCTGGGTTAATTTATATCTATATCACTCTAAGTGCAGCTTTTATTATAAATTTTTAACATTCTATATTTGACAACACAAGAATCTCTGTGATGTCGAAGTATGCAATTATTATTAGAAATTGCATGCAGAGAATGTTAGAAAATGCTTTTTGAAAATTGGGAATGCTTTTTGAATTATAAATACTTTGGTCAATTTAAAATCGATTTTCTTCTCAGTCTGAACTTAAGTAACTTTTCAATTTTCAATATTATATATTTTTTTAATTCCAATTAAAATTTTAAAGTTAAAATTATCTAAAATTATCTAAATATTTTTGTAGCACTTGCTTTTACTTACTTGAAGTTTAATCTCTGGAAAAAATGTTTTATTGTTAATGAATAATTATTCGAGAATTATATTTAGATATCTTTATGTTTTTATTTAAAAAATATGGTTCTAAATTAGCTAAAGTATTTGTAAAAATCGAATTAATTTACTCTGATAGTTTTGGAATATCTTGTATTTTCTACTTAATAGAATTTTTGCAACAATATTAGTATAATATACATATAAAGAGTAAACATATTACATTATATTTTATTTGAACTATGACCTATGTGAATGTCATGCAGAAAAACGTGCGGAAACGTTGATCAAGACATATTGATGGTTTATGCAATTCATGCAATATCACGATGTTTGATTTCATCGCTTAGAGTATTCAAATATAGTGACAAAATGTAGATAGAAGATTTCCGTTATCGCAGAGATACTCGATGTTTTCCTTTTTACATTAGATCTGTAACGATATATCGATAAGGAAAGAGAAGAGAAAAGGGAATGAAAGGTGGTCACTGATATCGGAGGTCTTTTAGAGGGTCGCATTTCCGTTGGCTAAAGGAAATATATGAGGGTTACTATGCCAGGTGATATTCTACCACCAACCCTCAGCATTAAATAACATCTGTAGAATATGCGTGGGATAGGAATAAATTTGACATTACGCATTGGTATCCAGATACTTTGTTAGATCAGCAGGTTATGGATTACGTCTAAACTTGTCGCTTTATACACCAGAGATATTATTCTTCAGAATTTATTATTATTCTTTAGAATATCATTAGTATGAGATTGAAAAGAGATTAGTGCATTTATTCTTTGAGTATTATTATGATTAAACAAATGCCGCAACCAATATATCCTTAGAAATATAATAAATCGATATATATATATATATTAATAAATATATTTATCGTTATAAACTCTGAAATAAATTGGAGATATATAAGGAATCTTTACTAATCATGGTAATTTTGTAAATAAGCTATATCATATGTTGTTTCTATTTTAATAAATTACAAGATCAAAGCACGAAAGATTAAAATTGTTTATGCTATGATAAGTTTATCAAACAAGATATTTGCAAATATATATAATTATTTATTTCTCTTACATTTTTAAATATGTCTTTTGAGAATCTCTCATATTTTATTAATGAAATTTTATTATTATTAGGAATAAATAAAGTTTCTACAATATATATTTGACACAATTATTTAATCGATAATTATATTCAAGAAATATATTTCAAAAATATATATAAATATTGTGAGAAATAAATAATTTTGTTATACGAGAGGTTTTAAGTATTTTTTTAAATTATTTAATGTTAATTTTGCAGGTTTTTATTACAATATTAGTAAAACGTTGATTTCTTATAAAAAATGCTGCTTGTCATTATTAAACCGATGATAGATGTTTAACGCGTCGCTATTTTTATAATATTATAATATTATATAAATATAATTTAAAATATATTTTCATTTTCTTAGGTGATATATCTTGTACTAAAATAACTTTCACAAAAGTTGTCAAAACTTTTTAACTCATTATAGAACACTTTGTACATCAACTATTGACAAAGATAAATTCCCTATGTACAAGTTATCATTGTTAGAACGCACTTTGAAAAATAAAGCTTTGCGTTTGTGAACTCCATAGCAACTGAATTATTGATGTAACGTAGCCTACGTTACACTTGCAGCACGTGCTGCAAATTGAGGGAAGGAAGGGGGATAACTTCGTGAGAAAAGTGGAATTATTCCTTGCATATGTACACAATAACTATAACGAACTCGAAGCTCGATGTTATTGCTATAATTTCCATGAATAGAATTAAAATAGATACACCGGAGATTTCTGACACGATTCTTTCCTCAAAGAATACAAAATTTTCTTTATCGTATTATTGAATATAAACGGCGTTGAACCAAAAAATGGGAATTGCACAGATTTCTCACGCCATTCTATCACAGCACGCACTTTCTGTGACTTGTAGAATATATCGTTGACCGAAATGTGTCTCACGCGAACACGAAATGTATATGTAGCAATTTCAATAATTCCACCTAATTGTCCCAATCACGAATTTATTCCTTTCTTTTCCTCCTTTATATCTTTATATCTTGGAAACAAGAACGGAAGAGCTCCTCCGTGGTATATCTTTATGTGACTCACTTATGGCGAATTATGCCACTTGCATTCGGAATCCGAAGCTAGACAAATTTATCGTTATTCTTAAGCAAAGCTTTCACGTGACATTGAATACGCAGTTAGTAAATAACATAGATTTATGAAGGCAAGAACCGTTCTCACTTCGACACTAAAGATGAGAAAGAAACAAGATCGCTGATGAGTTAGCTACCCCGAGGGACACGCGAGGTGGTAGGCGAGCCTAATATCGATTTTCTCGCTTTTATAATGCCGCACACAGCTATGCATGGAACCTCTATACGAGAATGAGTCCCGTATTATTCGACGAATCCTTGTACGCTCGCACCCTATACGTCGCAGTACTCGTCCGAATCCAGCCAATGTCTCTTTTTTTGTGTGGTAGCGTGACCGTAAAAAATAAAAGTCTTGCACGGAAGGAACAAGTTTCCATTAGAAACGGTGAAAATGTCCTTTTTTTGATAATTCGAGGAAAATGAAACGCCACTTTTATCGATTAATGGTCGTATGGTGAAATTTAAGAGATGGCAGTTCATTGCGATATATTTCATATCTTGCTGCAAATGTTTCAAATTTCTCTAATGTTCGTAACATACAATGGATCAGATGATAAAGATAAATAATGTAAATTTAACTAAATGTAGAAATAGCAACTTGTTGGAACGGAATGTGAACGGCGCTAGTAGATGGAGTCTTTCTGCTTTGTGATCGTTCACTGTAACGAATAATTTTACTACAATCTTTCGTGCACGAAATCCAACGAATTCCGCATTGCAGTGGACGTGGATTATATCTCCGATGCACAAATGTCATTAATTACCACGACCTTTAACATGCAATCATTGTCCTGCTCCTCGATAATTGCGAGAATATATCTAATGATGAAACGACTGGATCCATTTCGGGACGCTG